ATCTTCGACGGCTAGCGCAGGCACCTGACCGATGGCTGTGGTGGAGAGGCCACTCATCGTCCACCTGCACGTCCTGATTCGGGACACACGAGAAGTGTTAACCTCTTTCTTTTGCTTTCTCAACCTACATATTGTATTAAGAGTTGACTGCATAGTTGTGTCTACGAGTAAAATGAACTTGGTTCTTCGTAAAGGTTTATATATAATGCATATTTTCCAAGTTATTCCAATTATTCCACCGTGCCCAAGCAGATGCTTTTGCAAGGTAATTTCCCGCCAAGAGTGGTTTGAGCAACCTAATGGCTTGAGAGAGTACAGTTCTTTCCCAGCTGGCAAGGCCGGAATGAAAGAAAGTCCACCTGACTGAAAGCCATCTCTAAGCTCCAGAAGTAACCGATCGGAAAATTGTTTCTCTGTACTGCCCGATTGTGTATTCCATGACTCGGCGAAGTGTTCTCAAAAGAGATTTGGCATGTTTAATACTTGTGGTGCGGCCGTCCAAATCAGATAAAGGGCCCCAGATGCGCTGAAGAAAAAAATACTTAGTCATTGAAACAGTCACTGAAGCGTATTACTTACTACTTCTTCCAGAGTGCCTGATCCTTCGACCCCGATTGCAATATAGAATTTCCAGTCCTCCCCAACAGCAGTACAACCAACAAGTGGAGGCAAGTCTTTCACACTCTTGCGTTGTGCGAAGGCCCACATCAGTAGTCCTGTCATCCATACCCCAAGCTGGACTTGAGCCTCTACCAAGTTTCCGTCCGCGGCTTTGATCTCAACACCGGGGCCTAGAACACGTTTCCCAGTGTGCGGATGGGTCATATGGCTGAAGCATTTCCCTGGTGTATTGAGCCCCGCCTGTTCATAGTCTACTTTCCAAAAGTCCACAGGCAGACCGACAACTAGGTCTACTTTGCGAGTGTATGTATCGCGGGCTGTGTAGCGAGGCTGGTACTGAGGGTCAACGGATTCTGTTTGACTACAAGCAATTAGCAACGAAGCAGAAGGGCACACAGGAAGCTTCGTGGTTAAACATACATGCTCCAACACTCTAACGGCAGTTCCGCAATGGCCCCTTCCAACAGCGGCAGTGCGACCTTGTTCAACCAAGAACCTTCACTGCGCAGTTCAGTAGCACACTGACACGACGCGTTTGCAATTTTCCGAGCAACCTCTTCATCTGGGCTGTACTCAGAACCCTGTGTTAGAGTTACCAGTAGCAGACTCGCAGCGACGCTATTGGGGTCGGTAGATTCATGTATGTAGACGACCCGGGGGGTGGCGGCGGCTAGTTCTGCTTTCACGCGTGATGGACTAGATGAACGTGACCTCCCACTCCGACTAGCCACGGAACTTGATGGGGCCAGAGAGGTGATGTCGTCAGGTAGGCGGACGGAAACGGTGGATCCAGTTTCGGAACCAGGTCGATAGGGTCTCTTCGAAGGATCTGGCTGCGGCATCGAATTTTCGGCTCCAGGTAACGACCTTTTGCGTTTGTGCTGGATCACTGGGGTTGAAGGAGGCGTCGTCAGGTTGCTCACCAGGTTCTCGAACCGATCACTGTTGGGCGGGGTTTTGGGCACGCTCCTCGCAACTTCCTCGATCCAGGACAATATCGCGACGTTTTGCCCAGTACACATCAGGGTGGATTGGACGTAACATGGTATGCCCCAAAGTTTACTAATTTATTCTCTCTCGTCGGAGGATGCGCGGTAAGTCAAAATTTGGACAAGATGAGTTTCTCCGGCACGCCCTAACAGGTTGACTGTTGCTGGAGCAACCGCCGGCTGATGATGTTGTGACGGATCACGTGGTTTTGTTCTGTTCCTGTCAGCTGACTCGCATTGAGACACTTAACAGGCTGACATTTACATTGTCGATGATGGGCGTGGCCGGGAATATTTCCGACGAAGCAAATGGCTGATCATCAAGTACATAACTCTCTTAGCTCAACTATCTTCACTCTACGCCCCATACATTAGAGTACTTATGTAGCGCAGAGAAGCTCAATGGATATGGTTTAGTGTACCGTAAGTTCTGAACCCGCGCATTATAAGATAAGATTACTAAGACTAGCCAAAGATTTGTGCTCGTTCTATTCTCAGGCATCTGAAGCGCCTGTGACATCGGAAAAATGTCAACTTCCGTATCGTATCCGACCAATTGGAGATATCAACGACTCCGTATTTCATTACCCCTATTTCTAGCTATTTATTAGGCAATTTTTAACTACATAATTGGTGCATGGTGTGCTATGCACGACTATCTGGTCGTCGTCATGTTAGAAGGATTCTGGGTTATACTTGCCTTATGTTCGTTGTCCTTCAACGTCAACGATCTGTCTCTCAAGCGTACCGTTCCCTATCAGGCTTTATACCGGCTAAGTGTTATTGAGGGTATTGAGGAACAATGCCAGATAGAGCGCCGAATAGTCCTATACTAGAGTATTGGACTGTTCATAGAGTGTTGCCCACTTCTAATCAAGTAAGAATCACCAAGAATCTGAGGTAAAAATGGCGAACTTGAAGAGAATGGTCGTCAATAGGGGTTCCTAATAATCTATCGGGTTCTTAGCTCATGCTTTCTTAGTTATCAAACATTGAGCCACAAAGACTATCTGTATGCCCGAATTTCTTGGTCGAGGGACCGCCACTTCGTTCAATGAGCATTCCATCAGACGAGAAGCAGTTCCGTGTACGCACTCTCTATGTTCGTCGCGGACATTGACTACTGAACGATTTTGGTTGCCCTTGTCAGGAACTTAGACAGAGAAAGCCCGCTCTTCCATTCTCGCATTGGGGATAACCCAAAAACATAACTTCGATCTTGAAACAGGTCACGGTACAGCACGGATGGGCCGGCGCTACGCTAGGCAGCAGGGGGATGAGCCGTTGCTACTACTAATAGCTGAATCTTTTCATAGATATTAATATTATCATACTTATACCTCAATCCAGAGTTCAACTGCCGAAGCGATATGCACGCTCTAATAACTCTATATACCCCATCAACATGGTGTTGCATCAACCAAACCACTTCACCATTGTCCCTCAGCCTTTTTGGCCCGAGGGAAAGCAATTGGTGCAATTATTTGAGGAGTTGATGAACCCTGTTCAAACCGACCGGTCATTATCCTCACCAACGTCCTTACAGTCCAGATATAAAGCGGGCAGTCACCTTACCCAGTCATTCAGAATGATATCATTTGTTAATCATGCAACCCATGGTACTATTAGCGATGCTCACTCTGGCCCTGGCTACCGTCGTAGCGGCTACGCTAAGACCAGTATGTTTAGTCTGCCATCGACGTAGTAGATTCAATATTCCTTCTTGACGGATTCGCTGACGAGCTTTAGATGCTTTCTGCTCCGCTTAGGCTCAGCGCCTGGGAAAAGCTTAACTGTGTTGGAGATTTCGGTGTAACGGAATTCACAGAATCAGTCCTGGCACGTAATATCTCCAACGCAATGATTTCCCGCAGTTTTCGACTCAACCGTACATTGATGCAGCAAGAGCAGCTCGATATATCCATCACGGATAACTTCACCTCTTGGTATTCTAACAAAGACCAATTATCTTACGAAAGCTCGTCCTGTAGCAACTTTTGGCAGACCTATTATGCTGTGAATGGAACCACCGCATGTTATAACACGCCCGCATTTACCTGTCACCGATTGTGGAACAACCTAGGATTGCCCACCAAAAGATGAAAAATAAAATACAAAATAAAAATAAATTGATAAACCATTGCATTTTCTTCGTGAGATTATTATCTACCAATATGATAGCCTCTCCTAACCCAACAAATCACAAAAATCATAAGATCGTCAAAGCAAGCTTCGACGTAAACCACATTACACACTGATACCCAAGTTGGCTTTCACACGATCCACTGCATGAATGGTCATTTCTGAATCAATCCACATAGTGCCGAGGATGGCTACCGCCGTCATTGCACGAGTGACTTGTATGATATTCGCCCTTTTGTGATGGTTTTCCGGTTATAAATTTGTCCAGCTCACATGCCTCATCTTTACAACCCAGATGTTATTTACAAGATTGATCGCAGCATAAGAACAACTATAGTTGACTCTAGATACAAGGCGTAGTGCGTAAAAGCCTTCTGTTTTGCTTCCTCAAGCTACTTGTTGTGTTTAGAGTCAACTGTAGCTGCTTTACTATTAATGTATTGTTCATATCAAGACGTTATCTACATCTATGTATACGTAAGTCCTTCACAGTAAGTTTTACCACATTTACAACCCTCAGTTATTTCATTTCGCCTTGAAAACTGTAACTGTAATCCTCGCAGCAAGGAAAGCACTATCAAGAAAATATCATGCGGTTTTCTTTGGACAAATTGAGAGGCCATATTATATGGATAGAGAATACTAAATGGATCAATAAGTCTTTCGTGATATATCAAGATGCGCTCATGGAGAGAAAGATGCTTGTATTATGTAAACTAGATCCCAATTTTTTGACTAGCTTATTTACACGAGGCGAACCGCCATGTTGAAGGAGACCCCTGGTTACAGATAATATCCGCCTCTCCCGCGATGTGTTCGCAGCTAGGAGCGCGCAGCGATTTCCGAGGAGCAGATCAACCTTTTACCAATGTACTACCAAACTTCGGCGTCTCGGCTAATCTACTCGCGCAATTCCTAGGAGTATATGGGCAGTAAACATGAAGACAGGACCCGATCATACCTTACCTTGGAGAACAGGGCCCGACTATCTCCTGGGAGCTTCTATTTTTCCTAGCTCGGTTCACTTAGTCTCCCAGATTGTTGCATATAAATACATCAATATAATCTCTGGAACATGAACAGCTCACTCAATAAGGCTTTCACGAGTCCATCGTGGAAGCTCAAGGTACGAAAAAATTGTCCTGTGGGGAAGATTACTTGCTAATCTAGCTAGCATAAATCTAGCTGCTTCTGACGCCTCAGTCTGGCTCAACAATATATCATCATTCTGTCGCAACACAAGGCACCATGATCATTACCAGAGGATGGAGTGATGTGTCTGATGAATTGGGATCAGAAGCCAACCCTATCGTTATAAACGACAACGACAGCTATGGCGAACAGAACACACCAGAGCAGCATAATTCTGCTAGGAGCACTGAATCTTTCTGTACACCGGAATATCGAGCACGTTTGCGCGACAGAGGCTTCCCTGTTCTATACGACGAACCCGCAGTAACGGATTCGAATTTTGATTTGGCATCATCCCGATTAATATATGGTCAGAGCCATGATTGTATTTGCACCCCTGACTCAATCCCCTACATCCATCTAGAGGAGGAAAGATCAGAAGTGGCCAAGTCTGCCGAGGGCGAAGAAAGTACGTTTATTCGAACAGGGCAAAATTCGTTTTGCTAACCAGATTTACCGCAGGAGCCTCACAAGACAAAGATGAAAGCTGTTATTGCATGGCAGAGGGCCACATGTCATCTTGTGGTGAACTGTACCAGTCGTGGTCCCGTCAAGGCGATAAAATGGAACCATCTATCCAGACTAGCCAACCGAAGAATGATGATCCACCTCGTCAGCATGGGTCCGGCGGACGCAAAAGGGGACATGGAGGCGAGGACTATTCTGGGAATAGGCGATCAAAGCGCTTGGCAAACCAGAGAAAGAGATGACTGGGTGGGCGGTGTATTCATCTTGTAGCGCTACTTGGCCCACTTCTCAATTGCAACTTATATTAGAATTCTATCGAGATACTGTGATTTATTTTCTTTTCATCCCATCAAAATAGACCACCGTCCCCTGCCCTCCTCAGCAATAAAATAGAAGACAGAGCTACCCATGCCTCATCAGTTCGCAGTAACCAATTAATCTTCATTTGACTGTACAATACACCGCCAGACCTTTTTCCCCCGAAGAGAACAATGATCTGCAGAGGATTCTAGCCCGCTACTTTTGGCCTTCTTAGAGGCTACGCACTAGTGGTCTGAACAAGATGACCGTCATGAACCCGAGCAAATGTCTTCATGTCAGCGCTGTTTGGCGGACATCAATTTTTGAACTGTCCTGCTCTCCCCGACGATAGGACTCTTTATCTCGAATGGTTGATTTCCGTTTTCTTCCACTGCGAAGCTTAATCTTATGCTGCACTAAATAATCATCCGCAACCTGCTCCGATGTTGTCCGAAAGTGAACGAGCTGCATCTGAGATTTCCAACAAGATGCCATTGGCGTTGGAGGCTTAGTCTCGGGTTCGACCTTTCCATCAAACTCAGCCAGAGTTTCGGGGATTTCGTTGGGATTCGGTGGCTTGGTTTGCTCCCGCTTCATATACGTCTCGATGTTCTCGTCCACGTCATTGCATAGGTTGATGGTTTGCAAATCATCCGTGCTGAAATCGGCTTTGATGTTCCACCTATCAATGTCGTTGGAACCGCTGTTGGACTCGTTGTCCGATTCAAATTTCATTGAGGCCATATCATCCTCGTCATGGTCTGATGTGCTCTTGGCTTTGACAGAGAGTTCCGCTACCGTGCCTAACTCTCGCTGGAGCTCTTTCTTTTTCTCGAGACTTCTTGATGTGACCGAATCTAGATCGTGGCGCTGGACTTCCGCAAGCTCATTTTGCTTTTCGCGATTGGCCATGGTCTTAAGTCCATCCGCCACGCCGAGACGGTAGCTGAAAGTAGGTGCACCCCCTTTGTAGACACATCCCCATTCTAATATCAGATTGTGTGCCATTTCAAAGGCTATTGCTGCGGCAACCGTGTTGCTAGCAATACCGAAGAATGAGCATTCCACAGAGACACCAAGATCGGTCGAAAAGCTTTTGCAGTCAAAAAAGGTGCACATTGCCGTCGCTACCCTCTCAACAAAAGCCTCTCTCATAACCCTCCGCGCTAAGCCCGTGACTTTTTCAATGCGAACGATACTCCGCCCACCGTAGCATGCTTTGTTGCTTCTATCATCGCTGGCAATGAGATCTGCTTGAGTCACATTATGCTCGCTCATGAGTTTCTGGGATATGAAGAGCGCGGTTTTGGCTTCTGCTTCTGATGACTTGGCGTGATATGCATGGTTCAGACATTTTTGATTTTTTCTAGAACAGGCTTATCGGCTCGAGTCGGAGCCTGACTTTGAGGCTCGCAAGCGGTTTTGATGACACTTGCCTTCTGGAGAGGCTTTCTGGGCGACATCCTGGTCTAAGTGTTAAATGAAAAGACACGCAAAATCGGTGGACTTGTTCGTTGTGAAGGAAGATGAAGAACTACCTTCCTTGCTCTTTGACACAGTAGTTTATATGGAAGCTCTATGCTTTGTCGGTTTAGCATCGTACGTGCGCTGCAATCAGTCACCGATTAAGCAATTAGACAATGATTACTTCAATATATATAAACCTCTCAATACACCACTCTCCCTCAATTTACCACATTCCCTTGGTGAATCCCTAGCTTCTTTGATGTTCCCATACCTTCAACTGGTCATCGAGGTTTCATCTGGCCTCATCGTTGTTGTTGTCTGCTCTAAGAGATCCGAGAAGCCTCCCTCAACTGATCTATCAGGTGTAGTTAGTTAATCATGATTCATACATTTGCCCTTTAAATATCTCTTTAAAATGTTTATTAACAAATTGCATAGAGGAGCGCGAAATTTCTAGGTAAACGTTCGTTTCCCACATTACCGGTCTGCCCTCACAATTTGATTTATATGGGCGTGTTTACCCCCACCCCCTCACATAATCTTTTATCGATCAAGTGTTTGCCCTCCAATAGCTGAAGACAAAATTGTTATAGAACAAAGATGACTTCTGTTGTCGAACGAGCTCCAAGACCATCCACAATAGAAATTCACTCTGCCCCTTTGCAAGCAGTTCAACTGGGTACGAGGCTCCTTGATCAATAGATGTACCAATACCGGTATACCGGTTTTAGAACATTATATACACGGTATAATGGAAACATATGAACTCAGCCAATTCCACGAAACAGAGGGGTTGCTGTCCCAGAAAATTAAACAAGGATGGTTCGCTATATCCACGTGTATGACAGGCAGCATGGTGTTACCAGGGGTACTGCACACCAACATATTCATCTACTAGAGCAGGTTATTGAGCACAAATTTGGGGAAAATGCTTCGTGCCACGGGATCTGCTATCACCAGGATCGCATCCGACCCCATCCATCCTGGCTCCGAAGGACCTCGTTTATGCATGTGCAGGGGAGAAGAGAATCAACACTTTGGACGAGGTGTGGTACTGTACAACACATGGATATTCCGCATCAATCTGAAGACTGAAGGCAGTTGGAATGAATGGACCACACGGGCGCTGCTAGGGTTACATATAAAGGTGGAGAGGATCCAGTTTACAGAGAGATGTCCCTACGAAACTACAAAGCGTATGCGCCATCTGAGAGACGAGATCCCATGGTTAGCTTATGGGTCTGTGAAGATGAGAGATTCGGGCGATTGTCGATACTTCGTAAGACGATTCGAGATCGGAAGGGACATCTAATCGAAAAACACGGAAAAGGCGGAAGAAAATGATTGTTCACCACTTAAAATTTCATTAAAAGTTGGAGTATAACAGGCCCAGAAACAATGTGCATTAGGCTCCCTCCGCCAAATGAGTCATGAAGCTCCGTGAAAACGGTCCAAGCCTTACTTGATCATTGTGGAAAGTAGAAGTACAGACTTTTTCACTGATTAGGAAATCTTGCTCTAGATGGTGGATCTTCTTTCCCAATAGAATGGGCCGTAGATATAAATCCCATCATCCGAGCCCATTGATGCCTGCTTGGATTGCGCCACTTGGTAAAAGTGGACCCCTGGATGGTTAAATCGCCAGGGCGGATGATTTGCTGCTCGCCCGTAAAATGAGTAACCTCCATCTCTCCCAGAATCTGGACCAAGAAATCCACACCTGTAATCCGATGCATCGGGCATTCAGACATGGGTGAAGTATCGATGTACCACACATCAGTACCTCCCACTTGGATCACCACCTGAGGTGGATCCTGTATAGAAGGGATGTGAATGTTCGAGGAGGTATTGCTGCCGAACGCAGCATGTGGACGTCCTGAGATGCATTGCAATGTAACTAGATCACAGCGAAACTCATTGACGACTGGTGGCGGCTCGTCGGTGTCATTTTCTGTGGAGGGGAGCGAGGTGTTGTCGTCGTCATTATTGCCAGAATAATGCCGGTAGAGATTGGGAAGCGCACTATCGGCCATCATGGGATATAATTTATTTCTGTTCTCTCGTTGAGCTTTGCACAAAGTAGAGGTAACAAGTGTTGTACTTCCTGAGGCGGGAGAGACAACCAATATATGGAGACCGGTCTGCCACGCATCCCGACACACAGTCCGTAATCCCGATGTTAGAAGCAATGAAAATTGAATGACGGTTTAATTGAGAAGTTCGAAGCAAATTAAATGATAATTCCAGAAACCTCATGTCCGCCATTTCATGAATCACAAACAAGCCAGCTCCGGTGGTGCAGCCGATCTATTTGGTATCATCCAGGATCAACTGCTCTCTCCCGATGAGCCAGTTGTGAATTGAGAGAGAATGATGAATTGGGAGTCTGTGCTACTCCATACCAGAGACCACACCCCCTGTCCGCCACTTCGAAAAATACTTTCGTGGCCTAGAAACACAGTTCAACTGGCTACCACACATATTTGACCACTGACTTACTGCTTAAATTGGCATCATGGGAAAATAACAACAAATCATAAACACTGAAGTGTAAGTCGCAGGCTGAAGGTGGCTCTCTCCTTGCACAGAGACTGTACATCATGTACATGTAGAATAGGATATGCGGTTTGAGGATCGGTTTCCCATTCCAGATTAGGGAACCAGTTGCAGTTCATGTTAAGGACTACTAGGCCTGCTTCTCTCGAGGCTGCTCGGAACGACTCAGATTGCCGGGTCCCTTGCTCCGTCATCTATAGATTTGAGCCGTTCTTATTTGCTCGGCAGGAAGAACTTCCTATTTTTTATCTAAAAAACCCATCATTCTCTGTCAGAACAGCTGCCCGTGGAGCCCTCCGTAAGATATATCCGTGGCAGCTAGAAATAATTGGAGAGTCCAATTTCGACGTACGTGTACATTCTGTCTAGGCTTCCGCACAAAGCAGCGAGCACCATGGATTGGAGACGCGCCACCACCATGAATACAGGCGGGCTTAAACGTGCCATAATTGGGATACAGTATTGCGAACAAACTTGGGCTCTACATGTCTGGAGGATGCACTGCTATAACGGGACCTAAAGAAAGCCACGTCTGCGAGGCGAATCTTATTTGGAACGGGGAACCAGGCTTGCTCCATTCCACCAAAGAGGCCGCAGAAACGCAGGATATGGCGTCTATCGGAGAACGAATCGTTTTGCTCGACCGTCCGTTGCTGCTGCAACACACTCGTGCCTATCACTTCACCCTGGAAATTGCCACATCCGAGGTCTTCATCGCATGTTTCCAACATTGGGCTTTGGAAAAGAGCCTTTGTCCTTGCATCACCACGGCCTTGTACCTATCTATAATGGGACCATTTCCTCAAAGCTTGCGTCGCATCCAGCTCCAATTCATTTCGTTCCTTCGAATTTCTCTCAACGAACGTTATGCTTAACCAAGTTGTATCCGACATGTTCTGACGCATAGGGTATATTCTGATCTTAGCATCAAAATACCCGAGGCGGCGTAGAAAATGCTGGTGGTCAAATTTCCACCTACAACCAGCCACCTGAATCTTCATCCCTCCTCAGCGTGAAATCCACCATGTCCATTGCATCAGCTGGACTTGGAACTATTGTTGGTAGTCTCCGCGTCTTTTCTTGAGTCGGTCATAGACGCGCCGGTCCTTGGGCTTCGAAATGACGTTCCCTCACTTTTCGTCGAACTGGAAGGGATACAGCTTGGCCGACTTAGCGCCATCCTTTTTTAGTGCAGATCACCCAATTCATATTTATGTGCGCACGGACATTAGTTGAAGGCTTTCAGAATTGAGCCCCAAGTGGCACTAGTCATAAAGTATACGAGAGAAGATGTATAGAAGCATTACAGTATTTCCGGAAATTGGCGTCACCACTTCTACTCTTCTATAGTTCCCCGAACCCTAAAAGCCAAGAAACGCTAAACTACTTTTGACTGCCGTGTCAGCCTTCTTAGTTCTGACTGTGTATTACAAAAAACCGGATTATCATAAAAGCGGGTGGCGCATTAGTTACAGTAAAATTCGAAATCAAAATTCCTCTAGCGCTCTCCCTGGATTACACTAAGCTACATTTGGCCAAGCTCGGTGCTTTGGTACCTTTTGCCGACAGTCAAAAATACCGTAATCCCAATTCTGGTAGCAGACACCCGGCGTTCCCGGTCCTTTGTGCCGGCGTGGCTTTTCGATTGCTCCAGGCCTCTCGTATCCAACTTTGAAGGCTTGTGTTCCAGTCATTTTGACATTTCAACTCTTTCAAACAGATAGCTACTCAAAGGTTCACTACGCTTGCCGGAATGCAGCTTTCAGTGTATCATCCGATACAGTTGATGCAAGCCACTCACTGTACTCTTTGACAGCTACGTCTCTGAAGCCGGGGATTTTCAAAGGAGATGTTTCTTTTGAAATTCTTGGGTCAGCAGTTGCACTGGAAGCAGTTGCATCCAATCCAACGAAGTGTGATGGTAGAACATTGATGTTGATAGGTGGATACGGTGTGACGCCGAGAACCTTTCCGCTTTTGCTTTTGTCTTTCTCCTGTCGCTGCTGCTCTTTCATATAAAGCTCGTCCTTTATTTCATCAGGAACATATTTATATGTTTCAAGAACACTGCCTTTCTCGCATAGGTCACTAATCGCTTGAGGGTTTGTGCGCGAAGTCGATAATGCTTCTTTCCTACTGGGTCAAGCCAGCAGTAAGGCCCCAAGTGGCATACAGGCGAATCGCATTTCATCAAGTCATACACGTGGCGCCAGATTACTTGCTGCCCACATACATTTTCTTCGGCGTCGAGCTAAGCGTCACGATTATCGAGTATCCTATTGGTCACAGATAATTTACCTCGTTTGTCCCCTTTCCGACCCGCGGATACAGAAGTGCTATCTTCTATATAGTTAAAACACACTCTTAGCGTGAGCTTCCTACCACGTGAAAACTGACCCGACCACATCCGAAGTTGCTTCTCAATCGCTGCCCAGACGATATCGGTCTTGTTAAAACGCTTCGTCAGATCGCGCTAGGATTAGTCATTAACCGAAGCAACAATCGCCGTATCATCTATCCTAATCCTTTTCTTATGTGATACTTTTTCTCGAGGAACCTTTTTTAGCTTCTCTTCTAGCACCAAATTCCAGTATACGCTCGGAGCCAATACTATATCTTCCTCTAACGTAATTCACATGCGAGCTGCGCACACAAGCGAGCTGCGCACCCCAAAACACATAATAAATGCGATATATGCTACACTTATATCTCAACAACCACTTTTCTATTCTATCTAGTTCTTTGTCGATAGCTATTGATAAGGACTGTTAGAACTGCATATGAATTTCGAAGAAATCGAAATCTTATATCATCATCATTTCAAAAATTACCGAAAGTTACATTTATAAATGTTATAAACATATATATCTTAGCCACCAAGTTGTAAAAATTCCCCAGATTTCCTAAAAAGGCTAGATACCGCCTAAAAAGCATATTTTTACAAGTAATAATCCCGATAGACCATGGTTGTTGAGATACAAAGCTGTAATTTATCTCATTAACTATGTGTTTTGGGGTGCGCAGCTCGCTTGTGTGCGCAGCTCGCATGTGAATTACGTTATGTCCTTCACCACGGCTTTCTTGCTGAGAGTGACCCGCCATTCTATTAAATAATGAATACAGCTTGGCGGATCTTCGTCGTAGAACTTATCTTTCTCCCACTCGGATTCTTGGAGCAGTGGCAAAGTGTCCGGTTGGGTGTGGACTGCACGATTAGGCTCATACTCGAGGACGGACGGGGAGGGGCTATAGTTGGACCGTGTAGCATAAGGGCTCCGAAAATATCCTGGTGTAGGAGGGGAATACTGAGAATCTTCATCCCAGGACTCCGGCTCTTGGGGTGAATGTACAGTATTATCTATAAGCCACGACCCGTGGCTAACCTGAGTATAGACTAGCGTATGTTACCATTGGATAATTACTTTTTGAGGCGACGTACTGTACGGAGTACACCACAGCCAAATGAAGAATGTTACAATTTTGTACTGTAACACTTGCCTTCCAAGAATCAATGGTAAATCATCTAGTATCTTCTTCTGAACTGCATGATAAAAGGCATCTTTGACGTATATGCTGTCAAACATAAGAGGCGGAGTGAAATTCAACTTGATTTTGCTTCCGGCGAGGAGCTTTTTGAAGTCTTCTTCGGGTGCATCTTTGCCCAAATGACCAAGACTCTCAGAAGTCAACTCGGGGTTTTTTGAGGCCCGATGGTCTTGCGTGTTGGGGTTCGGTGAGATTTTTGTACTCGAGCGTTGCCGTAGGTCATTTTATTGTCCGGCTGCGCCCTAAGACGAGCTTGTTGGCGAGTTTGTACCATTAAAAATTTGCGCCAACGGCAAAAGTGATGTTTAGGTAGAGTGGTTTGCAGGGTGACTTCATGAAATTTTTAACTTGCGATAGAATTGCATGGGCTATTTAGATATCTCGAGAAGAGGTGGAGAAACATACGCCGGTAGGCTAGAAAATATCCCATTCCAAAGATCAATGTATTCTCTAGCCAACAAGTCACAGGCTTTCATCTAACCAGAAGAAGCCAACTTCTACTGTACGAGGTTTCTACCAGCATAATCTATCCCAGTTTAGTTCGTCCCACCCTGCTTTTGTTGATGAATCCGGATGTGATAAACCGGTAGGACGTAGGTGGACTGGTTGGTCACCATTGGGCGTGATACCAGTGCAAGTGTCAAAATTTCATCGGGGCCAAGGCTATAGATACTGCCAGCACACACTCAGGATGGTAAACCTTCATCTCGTATTCTAAAGGTTCACCTGATACGGTATTATTCGAATCGTTTATAGAACAGCTCCTCCAACACCTTGGGAGATGGCCGGAGCCAAAATCTGTGCTTAGTATGGATAACGAACGCATCATTCCATTATTCGGACCGAGTTAAGTAGCTGTGCTCCGACGCGGGTGTCAGACTACAGTAGTTTTCGAATTCAGTTTGACCTTAAAACTCTTTCGACCTGATTCCCGGAAGATAAATCCGGAATCCGCTAATCCTCTTTAGGGTCACCGCTCGATTAGTTGGGCAGAACTGTGGTGGTATTGGCTTTACCACACTCACGGCATGTATTGTAATAATACTGTAATGATACATCGAATCCCCTAGATAGTCAATCTGGCGATCTGGCAAGATCGTCTGCCTGCTTTCCGCCTTCCCACTAATCCCATGTTGCCATTTCCCCTCGTTTCCCACCGAGCGCGCAGCCCTCGTCCCGCCAGTCATCACTGTGCTTACGCTGTATAGAGCTAATCCTGGTAGGGAAGGATGTTTACTAGTTCTCTATGGATTTTATCACTTGCAACGCGTCTCATTCGTTACCAGTCTTGAATGTAACCTGGCTCACCCGGAAAGCTAACATGGGTTTCCAAGGATTTTGATTACTTTTTAAAATGAGCCCATATCAGACCGATGATGAATCTCAATTTCTGGAACATCAAGCAAGCTATTTTTATGTACATTAGTTTCTTCCGACTCGTCATCCCAGGATCCCAAACATACTAATATAATGGAGGCCCGGCTTCCGCCCTCATGATAAGCTGGCCCAATTTCTTCCATACTACCTCCCGTACCACCGTCAAAAGCCTCCTTATAACAACCTTCGAACCAAGCGCCGTCACAATTGTTTTCTGATCCATCACTCTCAACTCGCCACTGTCTCACCACATTCCCATAATCATCCAAAAAAAACATGCAATATCCCTCCACCGTTGAGCGCCACTTCATCCTCCACAAATATATGAGTAACAACACAAGAAGCGTGCCAGAGAGAATACCTCATAAGTGGGTTCTTTTCTAAATCCGCTTTACCTCTCGCTAAAAACTCTTTAAGCTCATCAGAGTAGTTCTCCGCACTAGACATGGACTTTCTTGTGCAGCATCTACCATGTCTCTGAACTCTGCATCTCTGAATTGAAGATCAACATGCTCATTCGTAACACGCTCTGGAAAAACTTCCAGGGCAGCTGCCAAATCCAAGCCACCGAAGATACTTTCATCGTCGAGTACTATCCCGTCATAACTAACCCATTCTGAATCTTCATTTGGGCCCATAGAGTCTTATGAGCCTCTTCATCAGTGTAGCAGAGACGAAGCCAAAGACCCGATAAAGATCCGATGTCATCAGCGTAGGCGCGTAGTGCCTCGGGGGCGTATAGGTCGAAGAATCTCGTCTATATGACCTTCAGTTGGGTGGCGATTCCTGGCAGTAAGGCTATCAATGTGGTATTGCCTCGGGGTCAGGATCGAAATCAGTTTCACCACCTGCACACACAGGCTTTCTCTCTCCGGCGCCTTACAGCCACTCTCGAAATCGCCTTGGCCAATACACTCTCCATAACTCTTTTCTGGCCCCACCGCCAAGGCCTTAGCGCAGATCAACTATTGAGCAGGCTGCTTAAATTGAGGGGGAGCAGTAAAATCGACATGGTAAGTTACAGTACCAAATTACGTCAAATTACACAATGCGTACGAAAGCCCCATGGAATCCCATGGAATTCCATAGAGTGGCACCTCTTGCCTTGGTTCCAGACCACCCCAGTGAATATGGCCTCCGTTTTGGCCGCACGAAAGCTGCACCTTTGCTGGTCACACAAATACGACCAGTATTCAGCAATGCCAGAGCTGCGCTAACCTCTTCTAGACTATCCTTTCAATAAAGACTCGAAAGTACAAAATATTAATTAGTTGGTATACTTTACGCATAATCAGATGTGAAATTGCTTTTCGCCTTGGCCGTAGGGCAATTATATACTGAACCCATGGCTATTGTAAGAATAAACGGGAGGGAGATCTATAATTCTCATGGGGAGATTAAGTTTTATTCAAGAGGGTGGTGGGCGATGGCGGGTAAGCCTGTTTACGGGCTTGGCAGGTAATCAGGCCGTTAGGCAGCAATCAGGCAGTGATATAGCTAATGCGGTTAGATCGGGGTGCCTCGGTCAGTTCAGCTTGGGTGCTGCCAACGTCGCCCTAAAAATTACCCTATCGTAGTCGTGGGTAAGTCCTAAGTCGCCAAACGACGTCACACCGACACTTGTCCATGACATGATATTGTAGTTGACCGAACCTCGCCATAAAATTGTCACCTCTTTATCTCCCAGTTCCCTTTTCTCTTCCTCTTCAGCCTCAACCTTTCTCTTCTTTTCATCTTGTCAGCCGGTTTATGATAGCCTCCATCCGAAAGGCACAAAGATGATAATCTACAAGGTTTGTTCTGATTTTAACTCACCCTTCTTCCTATCCTCCATTTACGCCTACTTGGGCGGTAGGTAAGACCCAGAGGCAGGGGTAATGGGCATAAGGAGACAGACGTGCGCTGAGAGCCTTTGCTTGCCTCCCTAAAATTCAAGTCGTCTTTGTTTCGCTCCGCGTGTTAGTGATCTGGGCTAATAAGCTAATGTGTACAAATTTGCGACTCAATAGGACATTGTCACTGATACTCGTGACGAATTATTATCGGACAGTTTTAGCATTAAGGAAATCGACGGCGTTGTATACGAAGTTGACTGCGCTATGGTGGAAATAGGCAAAAATGGTGCGTAGCCTCTTCCGCCGCTTCACGCGTTGTATTAAGCTGACTGCGCCATGATAGGCACTGACGAAGACGGTGCGTATCCTCTTTATTACTCTAGCTTGTGAAAGCTATCATTGAGAGATGTCCTTCTTTCCCCCTACGATATCTTCTGCTCATCATCTCTATAAAAAGGTAACGATCTCCGAGAAGAAGTCAATAATATCGTGCACTCTTTCCGTCTCCAACCCACAAACTTCGATAAAGCTTCGTACCAGGCCTATCTGAAAGGTACGATAAGGATCAGCTCTGCTTGCCTGAAAGGGATGGCAGCCACTGCTTAAGATACAACTATTCTAAAACCTCTTTTCAGGCTATGCTAGGAAGGTCCTAATGTCACTCAAGAAAAGGAATGCTCCCGACGAAGAAGTTATTACCTTCAAGAAGGGAGTACAAGTTCACACCAAGAGAATTATCGACAGCTTTAACGATTGGGAGTTCTACACCGGCGAATCCATGGATGTGGATGGCATGTATGTTCAATTTTATCTGTCATTAATGCGGTGCATTATGCGAAAAGAAAATAATAAACTATTATACTAATCACTTTTGCATACAGGGTCGTTTTGCTTAGCTACCGCGAGGACGGTATTACCCCTTTTGTTACGTACTGGAAGCATGGTCTTGAGGAGATGAAGGTCTAAGCTTCTGTAACTACGAGGCAAGCAATTCGTTTACACGGTAATGCATTCTCAGTTGATTGCCCGGTTAACGTACTCAATCTAAGTCAATTTAATGAATCCCGCAAGTCAGGTATCTATGATCGAGGCAATCTAGTCAGTATATTGTTTCTTATTAGCTTAATCAAGTGTCAATAAACAAAACGAGATTTTGCTTGTATTTCATACATTACTGGCCATATAGCTAAGAGGGCAACTAGCGCTTCTCCCTATATTAATCAGAGTGCCACGTTACAAGCCTGCAGCCGTGTTTTAAGGGGCCAGCTGCTTCCTATACTGATAAGCCACCAAGAGCCAACCAACTCAGGCGCTATACGTTAGCTCCAAGTCACGTATAGACAGGTATACCTCATGATCCTCAAGTATACAGGCAAGAATCATTTCAACCCTGCTCAGTGAGCATCAGGGGGAGTGAACCTCCGGCAGAACCCATTTACAGCCATTCTCAAAGTCGCCTTGACCAGCACACACCTTAGCGCGGATCATTAATTGGGCGGGTCACACTAAGTTGAGGGCCGCTGTGCAATGAAATGTGTGAAGATATTGTATCTCTCCCCCGTAAAAATGCGTGCGAGGTTGATAATTACTGTACTAGGATATTACAGTGGCACGTGGCCAGCCCAATTAATGATTGGCGCTAGGGTCTTGGCAGTGGGGCCAGGAAAGAGTTTCTCAGTGTGTATTGGTCAAGGCGATTTCGAGAATCACTGTACTCAGATCGCGCTAGACTTGATTCGGAAAATCCAGGTTCCCACTATCTCTCCTCGGTGTATTTCTGGTAGATCACTAGAAATACCGTAATTACAGGTTCCGGCTTGGGGTACACCCACCCTCGGAACCCCCTCATTCCCACCGAAGGGAAGCGAAAAGAAGCGTCTATTGTAAAGTTGCATTCCCCAAATTATCTTATACGCATATACGCCCCCTTCCAATCTCGAGATTTTGCGGCGTCTTGTAACTGACCAGGTTTTGGATGAACCTCTCGCACATTTGGACCCCTTCCTCCTCCCCGCCTCCCGGACTTTGGTGATGCCATTTGATTTCTGCTCGGCATTTAGTCAGAATTTCCAAATTACCAAGAATATGAATCCCATAATAGATAAAAAAAGATTTAATTAATTCAATGAGACCAGATGTGGCATTCAAGTAGCTGCCAGGGAGCGATACTTTATTCGCTCACCAATCTTGATCAAAGTTAGAGAATCGGGAAACAGCCACACATTTATCCAACAGATCTTGGCGTAGTGTCTATCATATTTTCTTAAACTCGATGCTTCCCAATCCTCCATCCTCCTCGTTGATACGCTTCACAATCTCGGCTAAGTTATCTGGTTGATTGATCCGATACAGATAATCATCATCCAGATGGTAGAGGTAGAAGGCTGTCGTCGAGCCCGCTTCCATCATCGCAAAACGTTCACCGCCAGCACCAGAAGCCATTGCCGCGTATAGGGGCTTTGTTTCGGTGGTATCGATGCCCTTATATTCGAGTAACTCATAGATTTCACCATCATTTCCCCGCACAGTCTCACCACCCAGCGTTTCAAAATCATTAGTCCATCCGGCCGGTGGCTCAATCTATCTCATTCAAAACTATCTGTCAGTTAACGAGGAATAGTGGTCAAAACGGCAGTGAACAAACATCTCTGGCTGTGGCAACCAGCCTGCCATCCACTTCCTTCACACCTAACACGCTGCTCATTGTTGATGGGAATAAGCTGACAAAAAAGTGGGTTGTCTTAGAATTGGATTAATGGCGGATGTGAGAAAGAAAGGAATATCGGGGGATACTCATTTGAGGAGGCAGGAAAAAAATGCCCAAGGATTTAACAGTTCCTTGCCCCTCCTTCCAGGGGACTTCGCTTAGAAATATTACGTGTGTTGCTACAGTACTGTTTATGATCTACAGCGGCATAACAAAAATTCTCATATAACTTATTTTGCCAAGCCTTAGTAATGGAGCAGTGAAGACCTACCGCCTCTTCTAATTAAATACCATTGGAGTAAATGGAGTTCCCGGAGATCTACTCCGGCAGAGTATTATATATATCATTTGGCCTTGGCAAAATAAGTTTTATGAGAACTTTTGTTACACCGCTGTATATTTATTCTGTTTTATTATTCGCAACATTGTTGTATTCTTGGTGCTATGTGGGTCATAAATTCACACCGCAGTTTTGTAGATACAGATCTAACCCTAGTGGATAAACATGGCGGTACGATTCAGGTGGAGTATATTATCAATACAAAAGCTTCAACTTGAAATATAAAGTTTGATTATATCATTTGATTATATTGGGTGAAAATGTGATTTTGTCCACACATCGGGCCTTCCTTCCCTGGCAATAAAAGAGTGGCCGGGGTCCCTGAGTGTACCCCAAGCCGGAACCTGTAATTACGGTATTTCTAGTGATCTACCAGAAATACACCGAGGAGAGATAATGGGAACCTGGATCTTCCGAATCAAGTCTAGCGCGATCTGAGTAAGGCGCCGGAGAGAGAAAGCCTGTGTGCAGGTGGTGAAACTGATTTCGATCCTCAGTGTATGATCCTCACATTCAGTATGATAGGAGGTATATACCTGTCTGCCTTCGAACCCCAATGCGAGAAATTGGCGAACAAGCCGTTTGCGACGGTCTGCGGGGGATTCGTAGGATTGTGAGGGATCTGGGCGAGGTTTTTCCCATTCGGAGAGGAAGTAGAACGCGCATGTTTAGGATTCATTTTCCGGAAAGCAAGTCGAAAGAGTGTGAGGTCAAACTGAATTCGAAAACTACAGTAACAGACCCATTCGAAAACCGTTACCTACAGTACGTCCCGAAACTAGTGCAACCGCCTACACTCTTCGAGTGATTATCTAGCCCCGCCGCCAAGGGACATTAGACCGTATTAGGAATAGCACCGGAATATCAATATTCCTGTACCAACCTCGATACTTTCATTAAAATACGGTGCTTCGTCTCGTAACTGTATTGGCGATCCAAGGGGACTGGAATTTTCCATAGTAATGCAAACAAGCCAAACACTTGTTGCACAAGGGAACAAGAAGGGTAGATCTGGATTGTGCAGATAGGCGGTTGATTTTATCGACGAAAGTCAGCCTTAGGCTGCCTTCTTGACCAGCGCATCCACAATCTCAACAGCTCTCTCGAACTTAGACTTTTCTTCAGGAGTAGGTTGCACACTGCTTGTACCCCCGCCGCATCCCTCCGGACCACCGTTGTTCCACGCGAAATCTTCACTACCCCAAGCAATGCTTGTGTTTAAGGCATATATGTCCTCTGACCCCGGTGGCTGCTCCGTCGGCAAAGTTCTCAAAATATCGTGTAGCTCATCGACGAGGTCCTCTGTATCTGTTTGCGAACTTTCGAGGGATTTCGGGGCTATTTTCTCCAAATTCGGTGAGCCACCCTGACGGACATTTCCGTGAATAAGAAGGTAAGTATTGGTGGACAGTTTGTTTATTTCGTAAATTGCGTCTGGCGTTGGCGGTGCGAAACCTCCTTGAATGCCTGTATATTGCATAAGGGTGCAGAATGTTAAGACTGTGTCCAAGAGCCGAAGACGGGTTTCTGTTTAAAAGATGCCGTACCTCGTTGAAGCCGAATGGAGTATTCAGAAGGTGCCATTTTTCATGTGAGACGGGTATTGAAGGTTAGTGCTGTGAAGAATTGCGGGTGAAGGCAATAAGGCAGGAGTGAAAGAGGCGTAGAATGGCCTTTATAGCCGCGGTTTTGCCTGTGGGTTTAGCTCCTCACAGCCTAGCCCCGATTCCCACAGTAAACAGGTCAAGGTCAAGGTATCTCATTGGACAGTGGACCTGTATTCTCATCGGTACAAGTGGCGTGTAACTAACGCCGAGAATAACGATCCTCTCGAGCTTCTGTGACACTAGTGATCTTTCAGCTCTATCCTCCGTCCGGGAATGGCTCTGTGGATTATAATAAGCACCTACAGGATAAGCTGGCCTTGCGGTAATATAGATTTATAGCAGTGATTAGCTCTGTAAGTCAGCCTTTAACGATTCCCCGTGAGGCTATTCTTTGTTAATGAGACGGTAATTTTGTTGCAATCTAAGAAGCGGGGTTTCCGGCCCCGCTGTGTGGCTTGGTGAATATATGTACGTCACTTCTTCGCGATGATTCTCCGCCTAGGCTTAAATTTGTCAAACATGCAGTAAGTTCAATAACACCGCTGCTACTAGGCCTCGCCAAAACCCGCCCAAAACCCCAACCCGCCCACGAAAACCCAACCCGTGGGTCGGGTTGGGTCTTAGTCAGCATAGCCGTGGGCGGGTTGTTATTTGGAAAACCCAACCCGAGACCCAAATGGGTACCCCATATAACCCGCAAAAGCAAAAAAAAAGTGACATGTCATTTGCATAAATTTGTGCTGTATCTTTCGATTATATAATGGTAAAACCATTGTTTGATTGTCCTAGCCTACTGCGAGGAGTCTTCAGAATAAATATTATTGAAGAAGGAAAATTGGATTGGCACATAATAAAGACTAATATAACTCGTACCCTTGCAGTCGACTTGAGGGCATTGTGACCCTACCAGAAGATCTCTTCTCACATCTATCACCTAGTTGTGTGATTGGAGGTGGAAGCAGGTCTGCTTCGTCATCTTCATCTACTTCCTCTGCAGCGCGTTCCATATCGTTCGTTCGGTTGTGCAGTGACGGCCAGTCTGTTTCCGCTGCATCTGCTAGCATATCTTCTGCTTGGCATGTGGTCTCGGATTCAATAATACCCTCGACACCTTCACTCTCTTCCACCTCTTCATCATCGCTGATTGCCGCGGCATCCTCTTCATTTACTTTCAGCGCTTCATCCTCTTCAAGTGCCTCTTGACTCTCGCTCTCCATCGGCTTTTCCAGGCGACTTAACTGCTGTCCCTCCAAAGTGAATTTCCCTGAGCACATATACATCATCAAGTCTTGAATAGTCCCCTCATGAAGAGACCCTCGACGATAATGACAGATGTCTCGCGCACTATTGAAAAGCCTTTCTACACCCGCACCGGTGGCCGGAACCGAAAGTAAGTCCCGTGCAAGCCGAGAAAGAACCGGGAATTCACGCTCGTGTTCTCTCCAATAAATTCGTGGTGGAACAGGGACATTCGCTATTAGAAGTCAGTTGGTTACCCGATTGTGGTATGTCAGTTACCCGTACCTTCTCTGAGATACTGATCAACCTCGTCATGCTCTGCACCTTCGTGAAGCATGGATTCTTCAACTGGTTCAAGGAGCCGATCAAGTTCCGAGCTTTGCAGCGCCGAAGAGCGATGGACCGTGCGAAATAAAACCTCGGGACTTTGCTGTTGATATTGCGTGAAACATGTTCTCAGGTATTCACAGTACCTTTTTGAAGTACCCTCGTGGCAAGTAGAATACTCTCTATCATCAAAAGCAGCGAGTTTATATTGAGGAGCAAGTAGAGTTCCTGTGCCGTAAAGAAAGCCGTGGTCACGATAGGTCTTCTCATAGTACTCTTTCAATTTTTGCCTCGCAACAAGCAGCGCGCCATATATTTCCTTCTTCCAAGGTGTTGCTTTCTTTTTCAGTTTTCGATTCGACCGTTCGACATGCTCCAGAAGTTTCCTATACATGAGGAACACGCTGTGAATAGTCACGTCTTTGGTCTTCATAAGAGCCATAGTAAACTGGAAGAACGGTTTGGTCAAGTGGACCAAATAGTCGACCTGCCGCCATTCAATATCGGTAATCTTGAACTGGGAGTATTCATGATCACGGCAGTATTTGTCGATGATATTTCTTAGTCGACGCGCACGGCGAAGCATCAAGAAGGTGGAATTCCAGCGTGTTTGAACATCATGCAACGGAAACAGACGGGCAGTGCCTGATTGAAGGCATAAAAATACATCTCGCCGTTGCGGGCTTGCATTGACGAAAACTGCAAATGATCGAATCTGTATTGATGAGTACTTCGTCTGCTTTGAGAGGCGGATGTGGAGATTTCGGGCTCACCTTTGCCAGGGCATAAGCCACGTCTCCATGATTTGCTGAGTCTCTCAACCCGATGGCTTGAGTGTCTGACCAAAATGTTCTTACTTCTTTATTCTTGGGCGCTGCTCTAATATTCCCCAAAAGCTGTTTCAGGCAAAGCTGTATCACATGCGCCATACAAGGAACCCGGACAATAGATTCCCTGGAGCCAATAGCACCAGTAGAGATCAATTTCTCTTGTAAAGCTCGGATCAAAGTCTCGTTGTTGGTCGCGTTATCCGTAGTGACGCTGAAGATGCGATCCAAGAGTCCGCGTTCCTTTAGTAACTGGTGAAGAACATCACTGAGCCTGTTGAGTCGTTACTGCATTCCGAAGTCGTCTTCGCAGGGTTTTGGCTGAGGGAAGTTCCAGTGCCCCCGGTCCAGAGTATAATAGGTTGAGTAGTCTCTGGAACACAGGGTTCTCCACGGTTTGAAATGGCAACCGAAGACAGGTGATAGTCTTCAACAGTTGCTCCTCAAGCTGGAATGTTGTTACTCTGTGCACACTGAGTGACTCCCCGAGGGAGTGGTTTTGCAACGAATCAGAGATCAGGGCTTGATGAGATCCTCTCTTCTTTCCCTTGCGACAAGAATTAAACTTTCGATGTCTACTCATGGCGCTTGTCCCATTCTTTTTATACTGTGGGTGATCAAGCAAAGTAAGACAGGCTTGGCAGAAGACTCGTGGGCGCCCAGAATCGATATCGGCTACTTGGTCAAAGTGTCTCCAAACGTCGGCGTGGCGCGAATCTGTGGACCATTTTATTTGGGACTGACCGTCCCCGTTCAGCTTCTGGTCGTACTCGGTCTTCTCCCACCATCCCAGAAATTCTCTCTCCAGGCCCGACTCGTACAAAATCCAGTTCGTTCTGCGATGAGGTCCAACACGTCTCAGCGACACTGGGGGTCTTCGAATGGTTAGGTCGTAGCTCTCGCGGGATCCAGTGAAAGGCTGTAGGTCATCTTAGCATATCTGCGAGAGACTCGCGACGATCAAGGACACGAAGAGGGGATTGTTCTCATGCAGAAGATTGAATATCTGAGTCTAAGAACACATCAGACGATGGCTCAATGGAGAGCATAGGGCTGAAACTCCGATGTATTGACCGCGACGAAGAGGAAGAAGCAGATGCCATTGTAATGGTTCGTGTCATCAGAGTTGAAAGTTGAACGAGCTCTTCAGAACACCCCGAACGTAAATTTCGTTTGGTTCGCGTTGTGCGTTTAGATCTATCTATTTACGAGTCGCGTCAACCCGCGGGTACCCAAAACCCAACCCAACCCAAAAACCCCGCGCGACGTTGGGAGGACGGTGAGAACATTACAAACGCCTTAACAAGTTCGCTAAATTGAAATTTGAGGTCTAGATATAGTGCAATAAGCTGAGAATTCATTTAATACTCATAATCTCATCGATATGGCCATGGGCCCCATGTGGTGCATATGGAGCGCGGTGATGGAACCCGAGATATGCTCAGATATATATTTTTGATCTAAGAGAAAGTACCAACCAAACGTAACACCCATGCAAAATGATGACAGAAATAAAATACCAAAATTACGCTAGGTGACTAATCAGATTTATTCACGATTTATCCCCATATTTGGGTATTTTGGGTTACCCAAGGGTACCCGCCAAGAACCCACGGGCGGGTTTATGAAGACTAAAACCCTCGGTGGGTTACCCGTGGGCGGGTAAAGAAATTGAAAACCCGACCCAAACCCGCGCTTGGCGAGGTCTAGCTGCTACCACGGCATATCACGTGCCTATTCAGGTGACCTCATGGTACATAGGGAGGCTATGTATGATGATGTTGTAGTTGAAGGATAAGCGGTGCGACCACGCTATCATGACAGCATCGTGCAGCGATGGTCGTATGGGTCCCACTATGAGGACGCAGAGACCCAATGAATACTGTAATATCCAGAAAGTGACGACCTTGTTCCCGCTAATTTAGCGAGCTGAAAGATCGATGCAAATTTTTCAGCTTGCAGATCTTTCAGCTTGCAGACTTTCAGCTTGCAAGAACCAGTGGGTCCATGAATCGCAGCCACGCTGGAGTAGCTGGGTCCGGTCGGATCGCTTCCTCGGAACACCGTGGTTCATCTCTATCTTCCCGCTTGCGGCCCGTCATACTACACGAAACCATGGTTGAAATCATACTCAGCCTTGATTGATGGTACGGAAACGGAATATAGATGGCAAAATGGTCGTTTGTATCACTAGAGTGTGAAGCTGTGGATTGTATAAATTTCTAGCGAGCTAGGCGGCATAGTATTTGCCGTCTAGTCTACAGTACAGTACTCACGCCATCCTCATCTTGGGTTTCTGCATGTAACTGAACCGATTCAGCCAGCCACACTGCAAGGCTTGGGTCAATAATATACATAAGACCCTAGTACCTATATAATCCACACATGCCACACCGCTATAGATCGACTCAAACCCTTCATAATGCTTAGCGCTTAGAAAGTTTACTCTTAACTGCATAAAAGATTGGGCCTTTCGTTCTCTAGACATGACCCTAACGACTCCTTCTAGGGGATCATCTATTGGATAGAAAGAGGGGGTTTGACCAGTAGGTGTTCGGTATGGGTATACCATGGGGGTTCACTTATGGGTCAAGATCGGCAACCCCTCACTTAGTGTGCCCCAAGGTAGTCCATTAATGAAGCCCCTATGACATGGTAGATATACTATTTAGTATTTACGAGATTGTAGAGTGAATTCAGCCCTGAGTGGATATGACTGCTTGTTTAGAACCGTTTCGTTTTGAATATGAACCTTAGGCAGCGTTTTCCTGAGTTTGGTGTCGTGATCTCTAGATAGGCAGCTTGCTAGATAGTTAGAGATAACGTATTCTACCAACCAGTGATCACTTACGAGTGGAGTACTGTATAGTTAGATTGTCTTCACCGCACACAACATCTTCAGGTGACCCCACCAAACCTCCACCGGACAGCCTAAAAATGAATTCCTGCACTTTACCCCTTTCACATCATACTCACCCATTATGTCTAGTGACAGTATAAATCGCCCTCCAAATCAACCTATACTTTTAAGCTTCCCGAGCATCGATAATCTTGTCCCAAAGTTAAGGCGCTACGTCCTTAAGCGCCAAAAGGAAACCTTAGATAAGCAGGGCCGTTTCGTAGTCGCTGTATCCGGTGGCTCTTATCTTAGCATGCTGTCTCGCGCTCTTCTCGAGCCTAGAAACGACGGTACCCCTAAGGACACTCCGCAGTTCGCCAAGTGGCACATCTACTTTGCCGATAAGCGAGTCGTGCCGCTCGGCCATAATAACAGCAACTACAAGCAACTAAAGGACTAGTTGTTAGACAAGATCCCTACAGAGCTTAGAGCTCCGAATGTCTATGCTATCGATGCCGACCTTGTCAACGAGGAAGATAAGCTGGTCGAGCACTACGAGAAGTCCGTGATAGAGAGATTAACTTAGAAAGACTCTGCTAGGTTCCCTATCTTTGACCTGATCCTCCTGGGCTGCGGCTATAATAGCCACACCTACGGCCTGTTCCCCGACCATGAAGTCTTGACCGAGGAGGATAGATAGGTGAGCCTAGTGTCTGATTTGCCCCTAACCTCTACACAAGTGTATCACTCTCACTTTCCCCGTGCTCAACCATGCATAGAACATTGTCGTTGTGGCAACTGGCGCCAAGAAGAAGGATACTATAAAGGCTATTTTCGACTCGCCGCACTGCGATCTGCCAGCTGTTCGGGCGAGACCTTACTATCCTGGCATTGTTACCTGGTTCACCGACCACTCCGCTGTAGAAGGTGTTGCCTTTCCTCGCACCGACGTTCCATAACTATGACTTCAGCCTAGTTTATGTCAAACGCAAAGCTGCGATACGTCAATTTGAGAGCCTGAAAACTTTTTTGGACAGTATTGGGGGAGATATCTCCATGTGCTTCTCTGTAAGCCCACACAGAGATTCACATCTTTGTGAACCCTATATAAGTGACTGCCAATGGTGCCTACCGAGGGGCATCATTTGAGTTGTAGTTGGTGAGTGGCTTTCTATCATATCATGAATGAAGCGCAACATCGATGGGGATAGTCTGGGTGTCATATTTATTAAACGTGAGTTCCTCTCATCGTCTAAAGATTATTGCTGCCTGAGGCTCCATTCTGTGCTTCTGCATTAAAGATTTTTCTTTGTGAAGGACTTTATCTTTTAGGATGGCCGAGCTAGCTATTCCACGGCCTGGACATAGCATAGAGTCTTGTTGATATCCATGCTTTGTGGGCACCATATGTCCCTCGACCTTGAGAATCCCCGAATACCACGAATTATGAGAGTCATGGCTGATCGGGAAAGGACTGGATGGAAGTATTCTCCAGGGAAGGCCTTCGCTGACCGGCTTCAGTGGAGCACGCCACTGCCTTCAGGAATTCAGCAGTGACATGGGTGGAAAGGATAGTTTCGCAATACTGAGCGATCGAAGGGGACGTCTTATGATGAACTTTCCCAAAATGATCAATATAGATGAGAGCAAAATACTAAGCGGAGGTGTAACCCTGGGGGATCTGGCTCGCCATGCTTGCTGACTTTGTTAATTCGCCTTGCTAAAGGTTCAGAGGAGTTGAGGCCTCTTCGAACAATACATACACGAAGGTTCGTAGAATACATTTGAGTTCCAGCCGGAAAGATGGGGACGAAGAGACTTCGCTGAAATGCTCATGATAGTAAATATTCTGGGTATTCGAAGGGAACACCTGACTTGTTAATACCCACGCGGAAAAACTTTAGTACGAAAAGAAGGACTCATGATGGATCAACTCCCCCTTTTAACACGCCTGTGGAATGTGCAGAGAACGCCGATCCTGACAACTATAGTGACCTCTTTAAGTTTCTTATTACGATAATGATAGGTTATCACCAAGACCGGCTGTCAGGTAGGATAATGAAAAGAACTGCTGTCCTAAGTCTAGCTTACGTACGTTGGCCAGCGGTCCAAATATGGTTCAGTCGTAGTAAACCTTCAAGTAGCTATCTGCTGGAGAATAAAGATCTCAGAATCGGGAGTCATTTCACTGGAACACAAGCCTCCAAAGTTTGATATGCGAGGCCTGGAGCAATCGAAAAGCCACGCCGGCACAAGGGATCGGGGACGCGGGGTGTCCGCTACCAGAAATTGGAATTACAGTATTTTTGGCAGTCGGCAAAAGGTACAAAGATCAGCAGCTGGAAACCGACTTAGCCAAATGTAGCTTTAGCGTAATCCAGGGAGCGCGCTAGGAAGAAAGAGCGAAGCTGTCCGGTAAGAAATTTGATTTCGAGTTTCAGTGTAATAAACGCGCCTCCCGCTATTACGATAATCCGGTTATTTATAATACTCTGTCAAAACCAAGGAGGCTGACACGACCGTCAAAAGTAGTTTAGCGTTTCTTGGCACTTAGGGTTCGGGGAATAATGGAAGAGTATAGGTGGTGACACCAATTTCCGGAAATACTGTATCGTTAATCGCACGCTAGTCATATCACATTCTGGGAACACAAAAAGACAAACGTATACAGTAGTTTGTCAGGCGTGAAGGTGTTTTTTTGACCTGGAAGCGAACACAGAAACAACGTCTTTTCGCAATATGCAAACGACATGTGGGCAATGACCCGTAGAGCTGTCTCATGTACTTAGCTCGCAGTGTGTTGCTGATCTGACGCAGATGGGCGCTTGTTCTCTAACTGCGATTTTATTGCCTGATATGTGCTCTCGCGCGTGACAGCAAAGAGCAGAGTGGGCGTGCTTTGCCCCATATGACTTTCACGTTGGCCAGCAATCGGCCGTCTCATTCCTAAGCACTGAGATGTAGCGCAGTTACCACAAATCACACGAGTGACTCCGCAGACCAAGGGCAGTTTCTCGCTCCAGATTATTACCGCAAGCCCCTAGTCCAAATCATGTCGCCTTCCCAGGGTCCAGCATCGTCGTAAGGTAGTTGGAGATTGCCTATGATAGTTACTATCAGAACGGGAAAGGATGGGCCAGCGTAGTACGAAGCCGACCCACTTTTTGCCAATCGTCTCCCACGCTGGATAACCCGAATCCATCGCCGATGTCCTATCCTTTCTCAAATTCCAAACCTGGACTTGCGGTTTGCTTTCTCCCCTTGTACAATTGCTTTTGCACTCCACACGCGCATGTGCGTTTTCACGCCTGTAGCAGACACCCCGAATGTTAACCTGCCCAATCCACCCAGCCCCCAATACTTTCACAAAACATACGCCGCCTGTGGATTTTAGTATGTTCTCAGCCCGTTCGTTCGCATGGCCGACTCACATAAACAGTCCTGTCCGAGGAATAACCTCCTGTGATGTTCACAAACACACCTCACCCAGCAAACAGCTTCCCCCGAGCCGATTTCAAAGCTCCTGGGCAAGAATGCTTGCGGACTCACATGACTGTGCAACATTTGCATACATCACGATGGAATGTTTTGAGACAACGGATATCAAGTGCAGACGCCTTGATCCTGGTCCTGTTTATCCAAACCATATTCTTTTGCTTGAAACAGCTGTCGTATGCCCCACGCAGACCTCCCAAGCATGGAATTTAAAAAATGGAGAAGTTTATTTCTTCTCTAAGCTGGACAGCATATTCTGGGTCAAGGTCGAGAGAGAGCACGCAGCCCAGACGTCAAGTCTTGTTGAGTTGGCAGCCATTATGTCGATTCCTCACGATATAAAGCGGAGGCTCTACGTCAGTGAAAGAAAGAAGCAACGATCACGCCTAAGGGAGAGCTCCACGCCATTAATACAAGGGAAGGTAGTTTCGGTATTCTCGGTGCGGAAAATTTCGTAATTCACATCACTATGACAACTCACGCAAATTAACTCCGATTATCTTTCACGTTTTATTGCAGCCAAACAAAACCCAGTCGAAATAGAAGCTAGTATTGCTTTTTATCATTTTGTGATGCTTGAATAACATGTTTATTCAACCTAACAGTTGCATATGATGACTGCAAGTGGTTGTGAATTGAACCTAGCTACATCAACCTGGCAAGCTGGTCTGCAGTCAGTAAATCATATATCCCGGATCAATATTAGAGTAGAAAATGGATCTAAGATGCTGTAAAGCGGCTCTTCGATACGTTAAGAGGATAGATAACCGCTCACTGACAAACTCTTTCTAGTCCCCACCGCCAAGGCCTTAGCGTAGATCATTTATTGAGCGGATCGGATTAAACTAAGGAGCGCAGTAAAATGCGCCGCGTATGATACAGCAATATGCGACGTACAGGATGACACTATGCGTATGAAAAGAAAGCCCATGGTATTCCACGGAATTCTATGGTGGATCTCTGCAAATCATGTTGAGAAGGCCATCTACCGCCAAGTAACTTGATGATCTGCTGGGAGACCTCTTTTCTTCTCCTCCTTTTGTTCACCGTAATTATTATGGCTAACGAGAGAACTGGGCCTCATTTGCATGGGCTTACAATGGTGAGTGATTATTACTTACGGCTTACGCCATCAGGAGCCGTTGAAGGTGTTGTTCGTCTGCACGCAATCGACAGCTGGCCAGGATGGTCGTTTGCCGATGATACAGCTCGTTGAGTTCTGCGGGCCAAAGACACACCCTCAAGAGTGATGACAAGCACTGCTGGACAGGAGGAGGAAGGAGACATGTCTCCTAACAGATCATCAATTACTTGACGCCAGGTGATCCTCCTCAAGTGCCACCTAGGAGAACTGCCTCGTGACGTCACCAACCTCTCCTGGACTATCATTCTAAGAGATTAGAAAATGCAAAGTATAGATTTGTTGGATACTTTCCCCCTGACCAGTTGTGACATTGCTTTTTTTCAGTGAAGGTAGAGAAGCTGTATCCTGAAAACTACTAGGAATACATCGGAATAAAGTGAGTATTTCCTATGACGTGGGCACTACTTTACATCTGCAATGTTTAAGGCATTTAACCTCTCTTCAAGTTGCCGCGTCCTACTGTGATGTGGACCTAGGGCCCCCTTGTAGCCTGCCAGGGCTCGCTGGTACATCTCCTCGGCCTCGTTCAGCTTCCCCTGATCGGAGTAGAGAAGACCAAGGTTGCTGACAGTATCAAGGGTGAAGGTATGATCTGGACCTAGGGCCTTCTCTCTGCCTACCAGGGCTCGCTGGTACATCTCCTCTGCCTCCTCCAGATTTTCCAGATAAGAGTAGAGATTCCCAAGGTTGTTGACTGTACTGAGAGTGGATATATGATCTGGACCGTGGGCATTTTGATAGCCCGCCAGAGCCCGCTGGTACATCTCTTCTGCCTCATATAGCTTCCCCTGATCAAAGTAGAGATTCCCAAGGTTGGTCACCGTATTGAGAGTGGACATATGTTGAGGACTTAAGGCTTTCTCCTTGCCTGACAGTGATCGCAGGTACATCCCCTCTGCTTCCTCCAGCTTCCCCTGACCTTTGTAGAGAAGACCAAGGTTGTGGACTGTATTGAGAGTGGAGGTATGATCTGGGCCGTGGGCATTTTCATAGCCTGCCAGGGCTCGCTGGTACATCTCCTCGGCCTCGTTTAACTTCCCCTGATCAGAGTAGAGAAGACCAAGATTATTGACAGTATCAAGGACGAACGTATGATCTTGACCTAGGGCCTTCTCCCTGCCTACCAGAGCTCGCTGGTACATCTCCTCTGCCTCCTCCAGATTTCCCAGATAATAGTAGAGATTCCCAAGGTTGTTGACTGCACTGAGAGTGGATATATGATCTGGACCGTGGGAATTTTGATAGCCTGCCAGGGCTCGCTGGTACATCTCTTCTGCCTCGTTTAGCCTCCCTGATTAAAGTAGAGAAGACCAAGGTTGTGAACTGTATCAAGAGTGGAGTTATGATCTGGACCAAGGGTTTTCTCCTTGCCTGCCAGGGCTCGCTCGTACATCTCCTCTGCCGACTTCAGCATCCCCTGATCGTTGTAGAGGTTTCCTAAACCATGGAATGCTCCCCATACCGCGATATTGGTACCTGACCAATCTTTATTACGGACATGGTTCGCGTGTGGAATAAGCCGTCGTTGAAGCTTGGAATAATTCCTGACGCTTGAAAGAGGTACAGTGTACCCAACGGATACCAGTGCCAGTTCATCGAGCTGAATTAAATTCACACTTTTTTCTGTGCCAGCAACGTGAACGCACCAGTCTTGCACTACTGGGTGCATAGCATAGCCTCCCTCTTGTTCCTTAGTCTCAAGCAGGGAGAACCCAATGAGAGACTTCACGACGATTTTGAACGCTAGTCCACTTGATACTGTCCTTTCGAGCCAAATCGGGACATTCGAGCTATGACAACTGCGTTTTATTAATTCATACCAGATATCTCGATTGTCAAAACGAGCAAGTAGCAGAAGCAGCGCCGCTGCGTTTGCGTCCCGCTTCTGGATCTCACGATATGAGATCATCCATGTTTGTAGCATGTTACCTTGCTGGTACTGATGCTCAGGGTTTGAATGCAGCTGCAGGTCGGACCAAGATTCTTGGTAATACTGCAAGTACTCAGTGATAGTGGTTCCAGTTTCACGCATAAATGCCCCGGCGATGATGATTGCCAATGGAAGTCCATCTAAACGATTCGCAAGAGTAAGGGTATCTACTCGTGTAAGTATAATCAATAAGATCCGTGGATTAATGGTCTTGGTACCTGAATTGCTCTCAAGCTCCTTAGCTGTATCCTTCACCAATAGACGACTGCTTTGTAAGAGTAGTTGGATTGCATCCTTAGAGTTAAGCCTGCCGATATAAAAAGACTTCCCCAGCTCAGTCAACCTTTGGAGCCGAGATGTAATAAGAATAGAGCCATGATCGGTAGCAGGGAAGAATGCCCTGATATTGTATGAATCACCAGCAGCGCTATTTACCGGAGAGTACTGATCGATGTTGTCAAGGATGATTAGCCATCGCGAGTTTCCCTCTAATGCTAGCCATTGCAGTACATTCCTAGCACGTTGCTCCATCTCCTCGTCATTGATCGTGTTCGTATTTTGTGACTGTCCTGGTAATCGGGGAAAGATAGAACTCAAAGATTGCAACAGCGTGCCTCGATCCTTGCCACTCAGCCAAAAGATGGCAGTGAAATTGTTTTTGTGGTCCCGTGCGAAGCGAATCGCTAGTTGCGTCTTTCCTATTCCCCCAAGCCCATGAAGAATCGCAACTTTTCGTGACTGTGAACTTGTCGGCCGTAAATACTGCCATAGCTTGTCTAGTTCGTCTTGCCGTCCAAAGAAATTTTCAATTACCGGCACAGCGGTAAGGTCTAACGGTACAGCAAAGCGGTGAACTATATATACCAAAGACCATTCAGCGATGAATTCGAAAAATTAGCAACAGCATGACTAGCTCACGGTCTTCGTACCTGACTGCCATCGAAGGGTATGTTCCTGTACATTTCAGCAAGGAACACGCTGGCCGGCAGTAATGCACATACCTGCATAACAGTGGCAAAATCTGGTCCAGTGTTGTCTGCAAACATCAGTTAGACGTTTTTATTCACTATGCAAAGTCCTCGAGATACACACTCTCTTTGAGTCTCATGTTCTGAATGCAGTCCCGCACCCGGAACTTCTGTGCCATGTGCGTGAGGTATCCCTCCGTCGCCGCCTCTATCACTCCCTTCTTCTTGTACTCCTCAAGCCCAATCTCCTGCAGCCCCTGCTCGACATTAAACCGGAAGTACCGTTTTTCATCGAAATGTCTTGCCCATCTCGCTATGAATTTCCTCTCTGTGTTCTCCGTCTCGGTTGCAATCTGCACTAATGCCTGCCCGAGAAACTTAACTATACTGTCCGTGAACGACTTCTTGTCTGGGTTCCCTGTTCCGATCGAGATGAAGCACTTGACCAGCGGCTTCAGGTCTCCCGTCTCAGAACACCATATGTTTGACGCCTCGCCCTCCACCTCGTCCACTGGATTGTTCGCGCCTAGTCCGCCATCAGCAAATGAGCGGTCTCCAATACTGACGGGTTTAAAGAAGGTTGTGGCGGCACATGTCGCCAGGGCGGCTTGGCATATTGTCGTACGGATATTTGGCTCGTGAGAGAGGCTGTAGCTTCGGAGACGCACAATGTCCTTTGTGTGGCGGTCGGCGGTGCAAACGAAGCTGGCTATGTTAGATATATCACATTGATTAGCAATGTACTTACGTTTTGCATCCGCGATCAATGCCGTCATTAAACAGGTTCTGCTCAGATACACCGCTGCGTTCGACCACCTTCCGGATCGCGCTCTCCAGCTTCGCCGAGTCGAATCGGGCCTTGATATCACCCTTGAAGTTGACAGGGATTAAGCTTAGCTTCTCGCCGAATACCGCAGCAGCAAGATCGCTGTATGCGTCAATACACTCGTCAATATCCATCTCGAGCCGGCCTAACATGATCGCGATGAGGCTTGCTGATAGTTAGCGCGTCGGATTAACGATGGCAAGCCCACTCACCCACCAGTGCTTGTGCCCCCGATAAGGTCGAACACATTGCACGGCTTCACCGGAGGGAGCTTCATCTGCTCCCGCGCATGGTTTAGTCGGTCCATGATGCTCTTCAGGATGTAGAGTGACGAGAGGCCTCGCACGCCGCCGCCATCCAGGGACAGCAGGCATAGGCCAGTTGTGTCAAGCGGGTTCGGCTCGCCGCCGTGTTTGAGTGTAGTTTCATGCTCCATGGTGGTTGCAGCATTCGGCGTTGTGCTCACCTTCACAACATTGTCACAAGGTAATGATGCGTTGAGCAGCGTGAGCGTCAACAGTGAGCCCTAGTAATGTAACGACTAGCCTGTGAATTTTTGGGGAACATGGGAGAAAGAAAGATATTGTGAAGCACTGGTTGTGGGATACGTCAGGAGAAGGCGGGGTTAAGGTGAGGCTGAATACAGGCCTCTAGGCTTCCAGTCAGAATTCGTTGTACTTTTATTATACCATAGAGGAACCAGTGGTACCCGTGACTTCCGCCCACCCACATCACGGTACGCTATCTTGCTGGCCTCGCCCTACCAAATTCAAAGCAAGAATGGATCACACTCAAGCCGGCCCGGTCCGCTCCTAGCGTCCACCAAGCGGCTTACACAGTAACAGCTTGAATGCAGATGACTCTGAGACGTCGAGATCTACTGTACTGTACAGTGTATTACTTTACGTGATAAATTGTGAGAATCCCATAGAATTGGGTAGAATGTATTAGTGCCAGATGATGTCATTCAGCTTGGATCCATTGTCGGCCCGTCCTACCCAGGGGCCAGCCCACTGCAGTACCTAGAGTTGGTCCACGTAGCACAATCATTCAGACAACCACTCCACTGTATCGGCAACATGGCACCAAACCTCAAAACCCCACATCTCGAGCATATTCATCATATGATCCAAAGTAACTCACTAACGACGTCTCAGATGGCCTATGCCGCCGGCTGCTGGCGTCTGGCTCCCTTGATAAAACGCTGCGGTTCTGGGACACGGCTACGGGCAGCCTACAGCAGACCCTGATGGGCCATTCCGGATCGGTTCACTCGGTGGCCTTCTCGCCTGACGGCCGGCTGCTGGCGTCTGGCTCCGGTGATAACACAGTGCGGCTCTGGGACCCGGTGACGGACGCGCCGCACCAGGCTCTCGAGGGCCATTCCGGTTGGGTTCGGTCGGTAGCCTTCTCGCCGGACGGCCGGTTGCTGGCGTCCGGTTCATATGATTATACTGTGCGGCTCTGGGACACAGCTACGGGCGGCCTACAGCAGATCCTCGAAGGCCATTCGGAATCGGTTCACTCGGTGGCCTTCTTGCCTGACGGCCGGCTGTTGGCGTCTGGCTCCAATGATAAGACCGTGCGGCTCTGGGACTCGGCGACGGGAGCACTGCACCAGGCCTGGAGTCTCAAAGGACTTACTACAACCCTTACATTCTCCACGGACGGTTCATACCTAAAGACAGACTTGGGCTCCCTCCACGTTCAGTCTAGGGGTGACAATCATACTCCTGGTCCACCTTATGTCAATCTGGCAATCTACATCGAGCAAGGGAAATGGATAATATTGAACGGCGAAAAGGTTCTATGGCTTCCTGCAGAGTCTCGGTCTACGTGTTCTGCCACTAATGGTACTGTAGCAGCATCTCTCTTACCCAGAAAAAATGCCGTGGTGATCGCTCAGCTCTCAAGCGTTCTATCCCAATCCTGAACCGCAAAATGCACGATCTTATCTCGAGGTGTGGCACTCGATACTGTTGTATTCAAGACCAACCAGCATCCCCGTTATGATGGACATTGATGTGCTCATTGACTAGATCTGTCATCTTCACCTCAGCCAGGCTAGTACCCAGTTGCGTAACGCTTCGTGGGAGCTGTAAGTCTTACTGCTTTGTGAACCGCTAAATGATGATGCAGTTACCTACACGAAACACGGCTTGTTGCCCGATGGTTAGATAGAGGTCGTCGATGATACTGTCGGCTTAGACCGGGACAAGGATCTCGAGTGATTGGCCCTCTTTTCTTATTGATGGCATTTTTGGAATCTGTAGCAGGTTGTGATTCATTGTTTTAGTGTGTACTTCAAAGGAATATCACCAGATGCTAGCGTCTCTTCAGTCCTGCTTGGACTATCTGTCATTATCGTGGAGGCTCACTGAAAACAAACACAGTCAGAGCCATTTCACACATCGCGTCCTCACGGCCAGGGCTTTCTTATCTAGAAGAGAATAGTTTGTGGATGATTGTCCGACGTTTGAAACAGTTCTGGTTCTTGCATCTAACAGTCCACTCCGTGCCACGCAAGATGTCTAATCAACCGGATATATGTGTCTGCTAGGATAGTAAGGGCGTCTTCCATAAAGAATTGTCATCATATAAGGTAAGGTTTCATCAATATGTTTTGTCCAAGCTCGATCTCGTCAAACATTTCGTTTCGCCATCAGAACACTCTGTCCATGGCAGTAGTCGCAATTGTGGCCATTGTGAATGGTGTGATTGCAAAGTCAAGCGCGAATAAGTAGCGTCGTTCCCGATCACTCCGGGATTAGCTTGGCAGCCGATGGCCGAGACTGTCCAATCTAACCTTTACTGACTGATCTCTCTGACCGCCGAGCCACCTCGTACATCTCCTTCGAGCTCATCAGGCCCATTTTGAGTCGGGTATTACTCTATGGTCTAATCTTCGGTTTCTAGGAAGTTAGGAGTAATTTTGCCAACGGATTATCCAGGTTGCCATTGTCTCAGTCGGTTAGTTCCGAGGGTACGAATTTCGGACTGTCCCTTCTCTGTGCCACACCTTTGCCCAAGTGACGTCCCGCAGGCTGAATCGGTGTCAGACTGTGCAATCATTAAATTACCTTTTTCACAGTAGCTGCTGACTACGCACGAACATGTTTCGGACAAAACTCAACGTTCCAGCTAAAGCTATGGCCCTAAAAATTTCCGTGAGCAATGTCCTCTTCAAACCACTCCGGGCTGCTCACGAGCCCATTAACATTCTCGAATTCACTCATTTTTATCGCCATTAGCATTTCTTCGAGCGTTAATTTCCGTGGCGGCTTTCCCAAATCCTTGATAAGGCCCTTGTGCCGGCACCGGAGACAGCGAAGCTCCTCAATTTCCTCGGTGAGAGTGGGATGGGTATAGGCAGCGGGGGTTGCTTTGATACACAACCCTCGCACATGCAGCAATACGTGCAGTATTGCCCATATCGACACCTCTCTCGACATATAGCGCAGAGAACCTCCTCCCGCCCATCCACCTTGAAGAATTGGCCTGGTTGATACATCTTGTTGCGGCAGCCGCAATCGAGGCAAAATCGTCGGTCGCTCTCGATGTGGCCTTTACCGCGCCTGGCTCTCAGTTGCTTGTCGGCAAATGCATTTCTGGGTCGAAGTTTCATGCACATGTTGCAGGAGAAGAGCTGGTCATTTCTGGAAACATTAGTAACTGGAAGATTGGTTGATCGGCAGAGCAGATTTTGTTCTGCTAGGAAGCACTTGCTTTGGCCACAGCTCCATAGCAAGTAGAAACGATAGTTTCTGTTCCGCTGTCTTAGGTGGCTCCACAGGAACAATGGACCTGAAGATTTGGTTGGTGTGTAAGAGTGCAACAGATGAAGGATAGTCAAGAAATTTGATGATATGTAAATGAAGCTCAGTCGGTAAATCTAATACAGTAGTAGTACTGCTCATTGCGATTAGTTACAATTGCTGATTTGGAAGGATCGATGGTGGGAAAAATGAGACCCGGAATGGTCAGTACTGGTGAATTCGAAACCAGATTCCCCTCGTGACACCACAGGTTTTCATTCCTAGCGCCCCACCCCACTTGCACTAGGCCCGATTTGGTTAGCAAAAGTCCTACCAGCCTATTTCAGATGTATCTCGGGTACATTAGCAAAGTTACCGTAATTACTGCTCCGGGCGTTGGGTAGTGGGCCATACTGGGTTCGAATGCAGATTATCACTAGACAAGCGTAATATGTTTCTCATTTCGTGGATCCTTACTTGCTCGTAATTGCGTTTGGCTAGACGCATCCAAGTTATCACACAGCGTATACCACAAAAATATAGCAGAAATCCATTATCTATGTTGTCCGAATCAGGTACTCCTCCTTGGGATGTTTGGCCTATTTATTATCCAACGGATAGAATAGGACATCCTGTTGAAGCAGAATGACACCAATCTATTATTCCTATATTGAATCCATATCAGTCGCTTTCTTCGCAGTCGCTTCGATAGAAATGTCAGGGGTAAGAGGAAGTCGTCTTCGCCGGTTAGCCACCGCGGACAAACCTTGCGTATAGCTTCAAATTGACGAATATAGCCTTCTTACTGGCGAATCGGGCTCATAGCAATCGGAATTACTGCCAGTGGGTCATACCGGTGCACCAATAGGATATCAACAGGTCTGAATTGCTATGAAGCCCCTAACTGGCAATTTGGATAGGCTCAAATACATGACTAATCATCGGACCTACAGTATCTCCTTCGTCCGGTCTCCACAACTGCTACTGCTCGGACACAAGTTTAAATCCAGTGGGCATGACTTGACTTACGCATCTGGGCTAGACCTCCCGGCCCTTCAGACCATGTTTCCACAGAGTCAAGTAGGGGGTAACACCGTCCTCACGATAGCTCAGCAGGACAACCCTAGAAGTACCATCAGGTTAAGCACACCACACAAAGTATCCAGGATCCAAACATCACTTACATTCCCTCGGAGTTTTGACTCTCGCCTGTGTAGAAGACGTAGTCCTTGAAGTTACTAACGATCTTCTTGGTCAAAGCATCAGCTTTGGTCTTAAAATCCAGCCGTTCCTGGTCAGTAAAATGGGTTTTGCTTTTGACTTCATTTATGTAGCCTACACATATCTGTTAGCTAAAACTTAGGGAAAAGAGGTGGTGACGAGCGTGCATACCCCCGAGGTAATGACGGTAAGACTCCTTGTCAAAGCTAGTCGGTTGGAGCCTTTGAGAATAGATAATATCGAGGACGGTCTCGGTCTCCTCCTGGTCATTGTCACTATCGCCTGTTCGTAAATATTCATTAATTCTGACTATTTCGTTTATTTCGTGATGTTTGAAACCTAACCGGAAGCGCCGTGGTCTACGTCATAGCCGGCCTTGACCTCAATGTAATGGCAGTCAGCCTCGTAGGCGACACCATCTACCTCTTTGAGGTCGAATTTGTCTGTTATCATTTCATCACCGCTGATTATGTCCTGTTTTATTGGAAATCTATCAGTAAAGTAATGATCCTCAGAGGCGGCGTATAATAGACACTGGTAGGGTGGAAGAAATTCTCGAGAGACATGTATATAACACGGTAAACTCACTTCGTACACAATCATTATGGTGTTTTAGAAACGCAAGCGTCAACCTAGATGCCACAGAGAGAGAGAAGTGAAAAGGGCCGAAGAACAAAGGGGGAGTTTTTGGAGAAGCAGAAAAGTTCATGGCTGAAAGGGGTGGAGCGAAAGTGTGGGTAAATACAAATTCCGCTGGGCGTCAACTCACACCGTCGCATCCGAGGAGGCGTACATTTCGCGGTGGGTTTATTGAGTCTCTAGAGTCAATAATAGCCGCTCGAGCCTCTCCTACACTTTCTCTACTACGGCTCAGCAAGACCTGTGCGCTTTACCCGTTCTTCCCCATGGCAAGGTCGGAAGGAGCGTGGTTGAACCCCACATCTTCACCGAAGTCACAAATCGCTAACCTCATCTGGTATAGTATGCATAGGTTTAACCGTTCGTTCCTCCATGGGCCCGTAGAAGTTTTATTGGACAAGTGGATCAATTGCATTTGTCAAGTTCTGCAAAGTAATTATCTTACCACCGCTGATCGACGAAACAATCAACCTGCAGGTGGACCTCAATGATAATGTTAGCGTGGTACTTCCATCCCTACTTCATGTCTAATCCCACCATCAACCGCCTTCCATATTAGTACTAGACCGATACCACACATTTCAACCCCTTTCCTCTCTTCTAGAAATATCTCCTACCTACCTACCTACCAAGCTACCATGGAGAATAATGACCGAGCATCCAACCAAATCTCTCAGCAGCCCTCCGATCAGGCTCTTCGGATCCCTAGTCACGAATTCACCCGTGATTAACGCATCGCAGCGCGAACACTGCGCGCTCAGAGGTATACCTGATGAAACATGCTAATCACTCTTCAAACTCAATCCTGCACTAATACAACATTGGTTGTTTGAGCTAGTCGCCCGGCCCCTCCGACCGTCCTACGTCATTGATCCCGTCTGTTCATTGAGCTAGTCACATGCTTAGCACAGTAATTGTTATGGCTCGATACTAAGCGTGGCTAGCGCAATGAACAGATGACGATCAATGTCGTACGACGGTAGGAGGGGCGGGGCAACTAGCTCAAACAACTAAAGTAGTATTAGTCAAGACTGAGTTTGAAGAAAATGGTAAGCAATGGTTCATCAGAGTTATAATTTCCGGAACCAGCAGATCGAACCTAATTTCCAAGATGACAGGTTTCTATCACGGGCAAGGCGTCTTATATAACGCCACGCATACCTTAGCTAAGGATAGTGCGAATATGCTGCAGTCTACCACGGACAGACGCCGGCTGCAGCCTTCCTTGAACTCGTCGAATGTACTGGGGGTACCGCTCAGCCTGCTCATTTCCCCACATATTCTCCAGCAGCCAGAGGAGCCAGCTGAATATGACGACATATATGCAAAGATATCCACACAGCCAAGTGGGCCCTGCCGATCTATCCGTGAACACGTAGCAGTGCCCTTGTGTGATTCGTGTTAGTTCGCGCCCCCCACCTAGCGGTGAGGGTGCGCCGCAGTTTGCTGTTGGCATAGTCGCCGATTACCCTCCTAACCTACTGTTGACATTGAAATATACTCAACACGTTGCTTCAACGAATAGATGGACGTGTTTTTAGGGTGTAGATAAAACGCGTCGTTTCACAGTCCCTTCCAGTCTATAGCGCTACTTAGCCGTCCATCAAAGGTCCGCGAGATCCAAAGTTTGCTGCACGGCTCCAGCCAGACTCTTGGAGTTTCGGATAGATCTTAGTAACCTTTTGGAGCTCCTCGTCACTGCAGCGCATATCTTATCAAGGAGAGCGAATGTAGCGCGACGGTATCGTTCTGCTTCCTCCTGTTGATCTTGAATTTGATCACCAGCCTCGGCCTTGCCGCCAATTGCGGTTCGATCAATAAAAAAGTCAGAAAAGCAGGGGAAAAAATAGCGTAGTATGAAGCAATGAAGCAAGTCTACTTGGTGGTTGATCCATATTTGTTCTTATTCAGCGTGCATGAATGTTCTTGAACTCGGAACTTGACCGACAAGCAGCTCGAATGGAAGGAAGAGGGAGAGCGTGGCGCGGAGCCTCCACCACTCCCTGGTCACAAGCTAGAAGTGCTGGCAACTTGACTAGCTTGTTAACCACGGAGGTATAACGTAATCCTCAGTCCTGCCCGAACCTGTAATTACAGTAACTTTCCTGATGTACCAGAGATACATTTGAAATGGCTGGTGGGACTTTTTGCTGACCAAATCAGGCCTAGTGCAGGTGGAGTGGGGCGCTGGGAAAGAAAGCCTGTGTGTCAGGAGGGGAATCTGATTTAGATTTCTACATTACAAAAAGTACGAAATGTCATAAGAGGTATGTAGCTGCGCAAAAATATCTCTTGGGTCGCTTACTTTATGACCCCGCGTTGAGAATGGTGACGTAGATGGCTCTTAGAGGAGGGCTTTTAAGTCGAAGAGTCCAGCGTATTAACGATACGGATGAATGCCACCACCATCCTGGTAACTATCTGTAAAAAGTATGATAGTCCCCACGGCATGCACCCGAAACTCCTCTACCCCGTTTAGATTTCCGTCTTACTATGGTTTTATTATAGCAAAAGATACGTCTCCGTCAAGTCGCTTGAGTTTATCACAGATATGTTGGCAATTACTTGGTTTAAACCATGTTTTCTGCAATTTCGCAAGCACGAAGATGCATAATTTTGCTGGTCATCATACCATTAGCTAATTCGGTCAGTCTTAGTAGGAACTTTCTCGGTCTAACAGGCTGACCAATTACTTTATTGATTGGAGAAGGGCTAGGGCAAAGGCGAAGACAAGAAAGCTCTCGCAGGAAAAGCATTAAGCTGAACTTTACGGCTAAGTGCTCGCCGCTGCGATTGTGGTCTCCGTTTGGGTCCTCAAACTTTTTTTCATAGCACCAAACGCAAATAATTCACCCCTCTGATGATATCCTTCGAAGGACGTTCCCACATGGGCGTTATTGCAGAATAGTTATGTTTTAGCCCAAAAAGCACTAGTGATCGTGATTTCCGAAGTAGTGGTATATAGCATGCGGGTAGATGGAGTGCTGATAGATGGAGTACTAATAGACGGAGAGCTGGTATATGGAGAGCTGGTATGTAGAGTGCTGGTAGGTAGTTTACTCGTAGATGAGTAGGAGGAGGACTTCATTTTGTCCAATTCTTCTGTTGCAATGCACCAGCTACCAGCCTTTAATCCAGAATTGAGCATACAGGAAACATGATTTCCATTTTTATTGGAAAAAGTGACAAGTCCCGTGTGGTTCACCTGAATCCAGGCAGCAGGCGAACCGTCTTCTGTACCGCATACATTGACCTTGAGCACATTTAAACCGTGACGGTTGCCATTGACGACCTCGCTGAGCTCTAACAAATTGTTAACAGCGGTTAATATTTCAATGGAGGGTGCCTACCTGAACAATCAACTCCATCAAGAAGACCAAAAGACGCAGAGTAACCCGTGCAGCCATAATTATCGTTAGACCACATCAGACATTGCCCATCGTGATCTATGACCTCAAGAGTTCCGGCTTGGGAAATCCCTGCCTGAATAATGGCTAGAATTGCAATTAATAAAGAATGCATATTAGAAAGACTTTAAGGAACGACAGGCTGCCCTGACTTGGATGAACAGAATTAAAACACACTGCGCGGCTTTAAGTATGAGTTGTATGCACCAGAGTATACGTTGGCACACGGAGCATCGAAACTATTTTCTTGAGGGACAGCAGAAACATTTTAACCATGATATGAAGCCTCAGAGGCGATTAGATGAAATGCTAAGCAGTTTAGCCATTATATGTATTCTGCTACATTACATCCGTATTAATGAATAGCCTGACTTTGTTAGTTGTCGAAAGGGCTCATGGTAATAAAACGAAAGTGGTATTCCCGCAACAAACTTCAAGAGCAGGGCAGAAACTGAGGGTCAAATTAGCGCGACAACGCTTTTAGACCAGGCGGAATGTGAGGACCTAGAGAGAACCTCCTACCGCACAGATCGTAACCACCAGGCAGGCAGAGATATAGGTAATACTCAGCTAGATCCACCCCGTTTGTAAATTTTGGTCGTATGCTCCGGTATAAATGCGGATAATCAGTAGATCCGCGATGAGCTCGCAGCGGGGTAGTTTATCAGAGTTAGCCCAACAACTTTCTAGAAGAATAGTAAAATAACCACCGACAACCCCACTAACGATAGCGAAATGGCTACGATCATCCTATTCTCATGTGCGGAGCCGGGTTGCAACAAAGATAGTAGATACTCGTGCAGAAACTGCAAGCTGGTCTCGGTAAAACCTCACTGATTTGATATCACGGTCAACTTTATTAGCTGATTTATATGCCTAGACTCCCTTGGCTCTGGCTCGCCGCACAAATAACCTTATATTTTCCTAGCAGACTGTTGCTCCGTCACGGATCAGATATGAGTGTATCTCCAGTGACCGAACTGAGCCTGCGAGCTGGTCCTCTCCATAAATTCATTGCAACTGATACTGAACGCGTAGCAAGCCGCCTTTGTTCCCGGAAATTTAGTCATGACAACGGCACTGAACACCCGCGAATCGTTGTCGACATAATTTGGTGGCATATTTGGTAACCAAGAAAACCATGTCTCCGTGCTCGCCAGGTCCCTTGATTTCCCTAAAGAGCGTTACTGAGTCCGCGACCCTAAGGGAAGGCGGTACAATGCCCCAGCCAGTCATTGTTCTTGGCAAATATATGTGGTCGTGGCAAAATACGCCGTGAGTACGACTTTTCACAAGTCCGAGTTGCCCATTGTGTTTCTTGAGTTGCGTCTTGTGTTCATAGAGTGTGTTATTTTCAATCCACCTTGCCTACCGTCCGAAACAGTGGCGCTCCATCAGGGTTGGGGTTGCACGGAAATCTGAAAAGCGAACGTGTTCTGTCCTAAAGCAGACCCTGGTGGGGGGCTATGAGAAGGGCGCAGGTTCAAACCACTGTAGGACAAGGCAGGTTATACAGAGGTTAAATGAGCTAGCATCGCAGATTGAAAATAGTGCATTCATTTTTCTCCCGAGAAAATAAACATTTTATTACGATATGTTCTTAACAGTGGCTTCAGCAGATGATTTCTCCACCTTTCTAAGGCAAATAAACATTTGTCATAGGTTCTCACTTTATCAGATTTGCAGAGACCCACTATGGAATGCCGTATAATACCGTGACATTTGTGTACCCAGATTGTAATATTACGTGATTCAGTAATGCACTACATCAGCTGTGTTTCCCTATGGGCCCTTAATTCAACGGGGTCCAGAAAACCATTACTAAAAGTGTATTGATCAAGCCGATTTCGAGAATTATTAACACTTGGTAATTGAAATCAGTTTCTGGCCTCTTTACTATGAAAGTACTGTGGGGATACTAGTACTGTTCGATCCGATGCCACTGATGAGCAATGCATTGCTGCACTAATTTTCAAACCGTACCTCCCAGATAACCCATACAATACAGGACTGCGTAGGCAAAGTTACATTCCTTCGACCAGAAAACGTCCGCTTTGAGTATTCTACTGCTATGTAGGTGGCGTTACTGGGTAATTTTGATAGGGCCAGAATCCCTTCGTCTGGAATGAAGAAATGAAGAATTCATCGAATGCAACGGTAACATTATCTATCTACATCTTGGTAAGGAACTGCTGGATAATATACAATACACAGTTCAGGATACATAGTTGGGAGAATCAACTTTCAGCAATGGGCGTGCGCACGACCTGTACGGGAAAAGGGATTGTCGTGGCAAACCAAGAGCTATCACAAACGAGAAGTTGCTAGTAGAGGATCATTACTGAAGAACTAGAAAACCTTCGCTACCTTACCCTCCTAGTTTCATTTGTCGAGAAATACCAGAACGACGTTTCTCCTCAAGTACGTCTAAGCGAGGAGTTGAATGTACCAGCAGAGACACTGCGTCCACATCCCACTGATTCGATAAAGCTAGCCTAATAAGTCAGTATTCTTTAACAGATCCCAACAGAGGAACGTTTCATCTATTAAGATGTAACAGCCACGTCGTCGCAAGCTTTGCCGAAGAACCTGGTCGAGAGGCATTGAATGGAGAACATATTGCGGTCAGATTATTATGAATTCACGTCTCGTAGTCATCAATTTTCAGAAGGTAAGCGCGAGGGGTTGAAACCAGAAAAAGCGGAACTGGAAATTGCCAGGCTCGATGGAACCTGAGGCTGATCCATCATCTGTTCAAGCCGGAGCTTCACACCATTATGACGCGTACACAAGCGCCTTTTGGCATGATATCACGAATATGGCTAAAACTCGTCTTCTCTAATAACTAATAATGATGGCCAGCATTTTTTGCCGAGATCGTAGGCCTACCACTTATAGTCAGAGTAGCTATCTGAACACAGAATCAGGAATTACTAGGCGCGAGGCTGTAAGGTATATGGAGCAAATGGCTAGTGGTCCTTTGAAACTATTACTAGCTAGAAATGGCTGATTCGAACAAAAGAAGAACGTAAAGCCAAAGTCGATGATGCTGGAACTAAGCAAGAAAGTATCGCATCAAACAAGATGTGATAGTTCCCAGAGAATTTTAGAAACGGAAGGGTCTGTCAATGACGATTATTTTGTTGGACGCAGATTATTTTTGTCTTGAGAATGATTTGGTTGCATTCAATCGCCTGGAAGCTCCGTAGCTAAAAGCTTGGATGAATCCTTATATTTGGCGTGAATCCACCTACGCCATCCTTAGCAGATCAAACATGGAAAAAGACGAGCATATCGATGATTTCCAGGTCATGGAAGGAGATCAGACTTCAATTGCGCACCTTACGGTCAACATCTGCCGAACAAATGTCGATCGTCACTTTCGGATTTGTCCCGACGACCCTGTTTTCTCATTCGCTGCAGAACATCGATCAAAGTGGCAAATTGAGCCTAATTGTCTCAGAAACCACCTTCGGCTGATAAGTGGTTACCGGCAATTACCAGTCATCTTGATGCTTAACCCATGCCGAAACCACTCGGGGGATTTTCGCCATATGTTTGGCAAGAATTCCGCTTTGGCGTGGCTCGAGAGAGTCTTTGATAAGATCGGTCTTGACATTGAAGATGATGTTTCCATATGGGATATTTGGCCAATGATTAGCGATGAATGGCTGGAGAAGATGGCACGCGACGGACGACAAGTAGAGCTCCAGAATGCAGTACTACAAAGCTACGAGCTGGTCGGCCGATACTTGGAAAGATTCAGGCCACCCGCCATAGTTGTTCTGCAGTGCTCCACATGCTCGAATGGAACATCGAAATACCCATTTCTTGAAAATGTGCGACATCCTTTGGCGCAGGTTCTCTGTTCCTCAATGGGGAAGGCCGTACAAGGAGATTGCGAGGCGATCAGGTATCGTGATTATCAAACTTACGTGATACCGGGTTTCCATCCAAGTGCAATCGAGTATGAACAGGATCAAATTGAGCGAAAAAGGCTTGCCACTACTCTCGAGAGCATCCTGTTTTCTGTTTACCAACCGTATGTGTCCAGAATGCCTGTATGAAGTATAAATCTGCGCTGGAATGTATTGCACTGCCACTTCAATTGCACCGAGGGTCTTTCATATTCTTGAGAGGCGTTCCTATGCCTCAATCACCATGTCTCTGTTATCTACACTTCAGAATAAATTAATATGGCTGTAATAGAAACATAGACAAAGCCGTATCTTACAGTTCAGTGCGTACTAGAGTGGCGATAGATGACTGAACGACGTTATAAGGCATACGTTCCATAAAGGCTGATGTTGCATTAGATGCATTCGGATTAGCCACTGAATATACCTTTTGCTCAGTCCGAAAACAGATGATGAACAGTACAAGTTCCAAGCAAGGTAGGGGTCTAGGTCGACCTCTTCGGGTTACTTTCTAAATTATCAACCTCACCACCACTAGTCGTCCTGAATATAAAAGAGCAGCTCATCATGTGCCTAAAATCAACAGTTTCAAAGCCGTTATCTTCACTTTTCCCAAAAAGAAAGCAACACTCCGAAGCTCAGTACAAAGCAAAAAGCCCCAAATAAAAACCACTCAAAAAAAGTACCAACAAATCCTTATTTATACAATAAGCTCTGTCCTTGGCCGAACCTGTTGGACTACTTGGAATTTTCAACAAGATGTCGATGACAAAACACTCATTCAAATTCATGTTTAACCATGTCTTTTTACCTCCTTTGCTGCCCGAGTATGATGATGAGGACGAAAAGGATGGCGAATGGCCCTTGGAGCGCACGCTTCACCGGTTTGCTTTGGAGACCTTGGAGTCATTCATTCAAGAGGGTCCACAGGCATCCAATGAAGCCTGGACCGCTGCGATAAGCATGCTGAAGAACTGGATAGAATTGGATAAGCAAGGAGTGGTGTGCAAGGACACACTTGCCTCCATCTTATCTAATATCAAAACCCATGGTATGTTGACTTCTTGGACTTGAAATACCGAATTAACTAACATTAGCAGGCGCTGCTGCACTTTACATCCGTGCCCAGAACTGCGGGTTGGTGGCATATTACGACAAAAGTGGCGACAAGGTCATTTTTGATGCATTTGAAGTGTCGCCCCGCGCAAAGGATGTGATTTCTGCACCAGGGAGCCTTGTCCGCCAGTTACCCGGCCAGAGTGTAGCCATCTCAGGTAGCATGCTAGAAGATGCTAGGTTCTGTACCGAAATTTCGAGCATCATAGCACGCCTGTCGACCGAAAGTGTGGCTGAAATGATACCTAAGTCATCCAAAGCCGGGAAACCAACCTTGGAAGAGCGGGATACTATCCACCCTGGCTTGGTTACCGAAGGGCTCATGAGTCAGCTTCTGGCATTCGGAGAACACAATGAAGGGCTTTCCTTTACCAAAAACACGCGGGACGAGGTCAATTGGAGAAAAAGCAAGCTTCCTTGGAGACGGTCCCCTCATTGGTTCATGTTGCGAGTTGCACTACAGTCGGTGCTTCAACGCGCTCTTCCCGATGGGCAGGGCTACAAGGAATACAAAAACTTTATGCTATATCTTGTGGCCGAATTTGGAAATAGATCTAGGCTTGTTCGACCAGCAGTGGCTGCGGATCAATTGGAAATAATTCGCGCGAAGATATGCCGACGCATCTTCAAGCTCCGGGGAGGAGTTTACGACTTTGTTGCACTGCACGCAAAATCGGCGGAGGCGGCCATCCGGGCTACTTTGCAGGCTGTACACCAGGACATTATGAGCTCGAATTCGATGACTATACCCGAAGGTTTTGCCTGTACTCCGCAAGATGTTCAAATGTCACTCGAAAATTCTCGAGAGTACTTGCAGTCTGCAATGAACCGTATTTCTACCGCTGTCGAGCAGTCTTATTTCGATCGCGAGCACGAGCCACGGAACCAACTGAATAGGCACGGGTTGCCGCTGCTGAAAAGTGGCGATCTGCTGTCGTTGGCTGATTTCGAGCAATGGGTGGCGAACGAAATGCAGAACTGGTATCGTGGCACAGAATCATCAGAAAACCTCTGTTGCTTGCTAGCTGAATTGCTGCAGAACTATTCACAGTTTGCAGCTGCAGCATACAACGGGAGCCCAGAAACCATGTCTGTCGCAATAGTCTGTATGCTAGAGCTGTGGGTCGTCGTTGATAAGATGTGTATTGACATCTGTCCGCTTATGAAAAGCTATTCTCCCGAACTACCGAGCGACTTCCTCGAACCGTTGCTTTTACCCCAATGCTGCGAGATGCAACGCGCCACTGGGATCGAAGCCTATATCCAAGCACGGCACAGTGCATGTACGGCTGGTACCCTGAACATCTTCTCCGATCCTGGTGCACAAAGCTTTCCTGTTGCTTATTTCAATGATTCTGAGAAACACCGCGGGCTACGTGAAAGTATACAGCAGCATGCTCGAGCCAAGCTCGAAAGCAAGAGGAATGAATGGCAAAATAAAACCCATCACCATGAAGAGCTCCTGCGACAGGCAGCTCAAATGTCGCATCAATGGGACGTTGATTCGCGTGGTAGAGAATATCACTCTGGAACATGCCAACTCTGTTCAATTCAGAACCATGCTTCGAACCTAAGCATTGGGGTTTACGAGTGGCCACTCCCGAGCAATGAGAATACACTCAAGACAGTTGTCTTTGAACTCGATTGTCCACGTTGGTTTGCATCGTGGCGCGATGTCACTTGGAGATTGCTCCACGATTTTGGACGGTTGCAAAGCAAGAAAGGCTCCAATATCGAGCAGAACCTGCTTTCTTACAAAGACACGCAATCATTCTGCGTGAACTGGGGGCAGCGCCTCACTTTAGGATCAAAGACCAAGTCATGGAAGAGGACCCACTACAACAATCGCCATTTTCCTGTGGACTTCGGCGATATAACCCCCCCAAATGCCTTCCAGTTTAGGCTCATGGACAGCAAAGAAAACACATGGGTTGTGGATCAGAGTGAGTACACATCAGTTAAAGCAAGATGCACTTTCGCTCTCCCACCTGGGCCGTACTCCTGTCTGCAGTATACTGTGGACTCTTGTGGGCACTCGCAAAATCAGATCATAGCGGATCAACAGAGGTGCCCCTCCGAAATGAGTTTGCATGAATATATTGCTTTTGGCTGCCTCCGTGCGGGTAGACGAGTACAGTGGCACAATATGGTCCGTGAACTCGCATCGTCTACTCTTTCAATGAATGAAGAAGCGGTCGGCATGCTGTTCCGCCAGGCAGCATGGGAATTCGGCCCGGCTAGCCCTGCCTCCACTCTGAGAGAGGCTCATTTGGCCTTCAAACATGAAGCCTTAGGTGATCGATTAGTGGAATGCCTGAATCAAAACCTTAGCTCTATTGAGGCTAATTGGAACAAGTACCACGCTTTGCATACTCTAGTCGTCCTCGGACTCCGGACTCTCAGCTTGTCAAAAGACTTTTCAATTGTCGAACGCGCAGCAGCGTTTTTACGCCGAAGTCGAAAGATCGCGTTGAGGTGGTGTGAGGACCTGGTCACAACGTTAGGCGCTCAAGCAGGCACACACAGTCAAGCGCAGCAGTTCCTTATTGTCATGATTGGGGGTGTCTGTCAATTAACATACGCGGTAGAGCCGCAGCATCTTCTACTTCTTCTCGACACCCGCACAGACCTATACCATCTGATGCGCTCCTCAATTTTGGTTTTCGAAAACTCCCCTCCATCGCACGAGAATGCCCCAGTTGGAATCAGAAACAGCCTCATCTCAACCACCAAAATCCTTCATTCTCTCGAAGAGCCTACCCGTCAATTCATTGAAAAGGACGCGGCAGGCTTCAATGAAGCTATTAGGCATAGTGTGCATGACGTTGGGATTACCTCTACCTGGACAATTTGTTCGGGGAATCTCTCGCGCTGGGTAACCAACAAGACTAACGCGAGCCATCACGGGCGCCAACAAGATATTCACTATAATTTGCTCAGTGGTGAACTTCTTCTGGCAAACCGTCCTCCGGGTCGCTTACCAAAAGAGTACACTAACCATCCAATATTTCTGCGCATGTTTGGCATAGTGAGCATCCCTCTGCCCTTTCCTACATGCCAAACTAACCAGACTAGCGAACACTTACGGTGCTGCCGTCGAATCTAAACGGCTCAACATTTATGTCTACCCGTCCATATGAAGGGTTTAAGGTTGGTTTACTTTGACGAGCGGCGAGTGAGGCTGTAACTGACCTTTGTCAATAGCTCCACTTTTCAATGGAGGCCAGTGAGCTTGTTGTGAGGGCACAGGCAGAACAGCAACTACTGCAACATATCCCGCACGAAAAATTGGCTGGTGATTTTCCAGAAAGTCTAGTCTTCGATTATGCACATTGGCTCAACTTGGAGAATGGCATACTCGAGTTCCGCACTCTTGGACAGAAATGGAAGCCACATAGAAGCAACTGGCACCTGTCGTTTGGAGGTACAGACGACGCGACATCGAGCATGACCCAGGGCCATCAAACATTGATTGATACCCGTAGCTCACTTTTTCAACGGTTGGCAGAGGTTTTCAAAGCGTTGGATGCTCCTGGGCACATCCATGTGGTGCAAACTGGGAATGATGCCGACAGAGTAGTTGAGATCTACTTGGTTAGACTTCGTCTGAAATTCTTCATTACCCGGAATGGTAGCCTGGAGTCTCAGGAACTCAATGCAACAGTTGACCGAAACCAAAATATTGGGTGTCTTTATGGACTCCAGAGCAAGCTTGTCCTTCTGGACACGAGCGGGCAAGATTGCCGTACCGTTTTGATACCATATGGGGGCATTCAGCTATTCAAGTCTGGACACCAAACTACCGTGTCTATTGAATTACCGAAAGAGCGGCGCCCGAAATATTTCCACTACTCGTTTGATCGTCATCTCCAAGTGCTGCGCGGGTCACACGACATGCTAGAATCTTTATACCTGGCTTACATGCACGCAGTGACGAGCTATGTTCTCCCTGATCCCGCCACGGGGCGATCAGGGACAGCAGAGGCCATCCGGATCTTGCGACAGGCATGGTTAAAAACCTCGTTCCCCCTCGGCACAGAGGTCGTTGCGCTCTTGGAGCGGATCGCAGCTCTTACCCCGCAGCGTCGCTACTATCCCAGCCACTTGAAGTCTATGCAAACCGTCATCTGGAACAGTGAACTTGGACAGCTAGCCCAACATGATGACTTCCGAGCCCTTGTTCAAGAAATCGTGGAGCATGCAAGCAGATTTGGTATATTCCATGGAGTGAGCGATGCCGAGCGGGATGCAACGGTGCAGTGTTATAAAAATCGCGGGGACCATCATCTCCTTGAAAGAGCCCGTTTTCGCCATTTAAACTTCCGCTGCTCTGAATTTGGGGGGACTCCGGTGTGTCAGATGCCAGAACCAACATTGTATGCCTCCCGCGACCGCGACATCCGGAGTGATCGAAGTCTCAGAGTTTACAAAGTTGCCACCCTTGTGAGAAACTGGCGATCATATGTACCACACTGTCATGCACTTCTCGAAAGTGTTGCAAGTTGGAAATGCGTGCGGCCATCCGGGTCTTCAGTACGAGACCTTAGCTGCACTGAACTCTTGCAACTGTCATTTCAAGACGCATGGGGCTCTCTGTATGAGCTTTGCCGGTCCAGCAACCGGGTACGAGACTCATACAGCCTCATGTCTCTTTTTTGCACGATTGCATTTGCCGGAAAAGAGGAACGCCATATCTACCCACTTCTGGCAGTCGCATTTTCGGGCCAGTTCGAAGATCTCCCAGTGCCTGGTAACCAGAACCCACAACGAATCCTTGACTTACAACTCGGTGAAGACATTGATCGTTCAAAAGTCGAGGCTGCGATTGAAAGAGATTACAGTCAGTTTAAACCCCCTTTTTCGAGCGCAGCATCGAAAAGACAGAAGAAGGAGGCGAGAGAGCTCAAAGCAGCATACGATCTGCAGAAAGAAGCGGACATCGCCTTATGCTTGGAAGCAATAAGAGGTCAATGGCCCTGCGAAGCACCCCAGCTACCCGAAATTCCGCGGATGAATCAGAGAGGAGTCTCACAGGCCTGTACAGTTCTTTGTACTAAATGGTACCATAATCATCAGTTCTTCGCCTTTCTTCGGCTGGTGCAAAGCCGACTGAATGCCGTGCAAGACGAAGGGAACGAGCTCAATGTTGAGGCCCCGCCCTCACCAACACGTGATTCGTTCAGTGCGGCCATCCGCATTTCGCCGCCTTCTCTTTTGGATATACTTTCTTCCTCCAGTCCAATTACCCTTCCGGCGGGAAGCCCGCCCCTCAAGTACTCTCGATACCGCACCCCGCAATGTTATAACTTCAGCTTGAATTCAGAACTTCGCTTGCTGATAGAGACTTTCCGAAATGATCCAGACTCGTGCCAGAGGGAACTTGGCGAAGGCCTTGAGGAAAGCTTGGAAGCTCTCGAAGGGTCTGAATTGCCTTGCTCCTCAGGGTCGATGCCGGTGGGCCGAACTGTCCTTGTTCAATATCGTACCCATCTAGAAAGCCAGCGAGATATCATCTGGAAGGGGATTACACAATGTTTGACTGCTACCGAAACCTGTTGGGAAGAGGTTGCTGGAATGGCTCTCCGGCCAAATATTACTGTGCTCTCCCTACTGTCTTTTCTTACAGTTGATCGATGGCAACTGGTCCCGGAAGCGTGGAGATTTAGCCTCTCCGCCTTTGCGAGAAGCATTGCGTCTCTACGCCGGTGTGACCGTCTTCTGGCTTGCTTTGACCGGACCGATGTTGATGGCTTTTTTAAGGAAGCAGAGAATGTCGGCGGGGAAGGATGGGATGATCATCTGCAGCCTGACTGGCTACTATTTGAAGTTGAGAATAATCTCACTATCCGGAAACAGCAGTCAGACGTGGCTCTTAAAATGGTCAAACCTGACCTGCCAGGAAACGCGGTCCTGCAACTGAACATGGGTGAGGGGAAAACATCGGTGATAACACCAATGACAGCGTCCACACTTGCTGATGGCACGCAATTACTCCGAATCTTTGTCTTGAAGCCCCTCCTGCGGCAGAGTGTTAACCTCCTCTCCCAGCGCCTTGGCGGAATGTTAAACCGACGCATCTATCACATACCGTTTTCAAGAGACACGCCTCTAGACGAGGCGTTGGTGCATCGACTGTGGGAAATATACCTTGATTGTCAGAAGCAACGAGGTATTCTGATAGTTTTGCCGGAACAAGTCCTATCATACCGCCTTGTCGGCTTAGACTTGGTGAACAGAAATCCTGCTCTGGCACATCAGGCGATTGAACTCGAAAAATGGCTGCAATCCAACTGTCGGAACCTCATCGATGAGAGCGATGAAGTCCTTGATCCCAAATTCCAGTTGGTGTATACGGTTGGCAGTCAGCAGACAATGGATGGGCACAGCGATCGATGGGAAATAACTCAGGCCTTGCTTGGGTTGGTAGAGAAACAAGCCGAGAAGTTACATCTGCAAGCCCCGGGCTGTCTGGACATTGAACGCAGCGGTGCCCGCTACCCAATCTTTCACTTCCTGACCGCTAAGTCGGCTGACACAATTATTGAGAAAGTCGTGGAGGCCATTGGTAAAGAAGGTCTACCGGGCGTTCCGATCAATCAGTGGACTCGGCGGGTTCGCCGGAGCGCATTGGACTTCATCCGCTTTGCCGACACTACCAACGGGTGTAGGGACGTCTTGCGTGATACCTTCGAAGGCGGCGTCTTCCTACGTAAGTTGCTAGTCTTGCGCGGTCTCCTGGCTCATCACATCTTGAAGTTTGCACTAGCAGGAAAGCGTTGGCTAGTTGATTACGGCCTTCATCCCTACCGTTGCCTAATGGCAGTTCCATTCCGGGCCAAGGGCATCCCTTCAGAGAACGCAGAGTTTGGTCATCCAGACGTTGCTATCTCCTTGACGTGCCTGAGCTACTATTACCAAGGGCTCACCGCCGAGCAAGTGCGACATTGCTTTGCACTGCTAGGGAAGGAAAACGATCCTTCGGCTGAATACCGGAACTGGATTTCCACCCGTTTGGATAGCCTCCCCTCAGCGCTGAGGGTGATGACAGGGGTAAATTTAGAAGATGCACGGGCTTTCCGCGAGACCCTTTATCCCCATCTACAGCACCAAAAGGGTATTATAGACTTCTACCTCTCACAGGTGGTATTTCCAAGAGAGGCAAAAGAATTTCCAGAGAAACTCTGCGCTTCCGCCTGGGATCTGCCTTCGCGGGCAAATCAACCACTCACAACTGGATTCAGTGGGACGAACGACAATCGGCTGCTCCTCCCGCGATCGACTCCTCAGCGCGATCTTCCGCATCTACTTCTCACGAACGCCATGGTTCTCGGCTATATTTTACAGGAAGAAAATCGTGCTTGTATATTAGCACAGGATGAAAGGGGCTCTCAACTTCCTGCATATCAACTGGTTGATCTTATTCAGAGGCAGGATCCCCCAGTACGAGTAATTATTGATGTCGGAGCGCAGATCCTGGAGTCTAGGAATCAACATGTTGCCCAACATTGGCTTTCTCTGGCCGCAGTCAATGATGCCGATGCAGCTGTCTTTTACGATGAAGATGACGAAGCCTCCGTCATTGACCGTGAAGGGCACATTGAACGGCTCTTATGCTCGCCGTTCCGGCAAAGAATGCATAGGTGTCTTGTGTTCTTGGATCAACAGCATGCGCGCGGTGTTGATCTAAAACTTCCTTCGACATACCGTGCGGCCGTTACGATTGGGCCTCGATTGACCAAAGACAGACTTGTCCAAGGTAAGTATTGTCCTTTGTTTAATAAGAGTCGTATTCCTCTGACACAGTGCAAAGCATGTAACCGAATGCGAGGTCTTGGAAATGGTCAGTCTGTGGTGTTTTTCATTCCCCCCGAGGTCACCCACAGCATGCAAGAAGGAGATGATCGAATGACCTCGCTCGATGTCGTCCGGTGGTCTCTCAAGCAAACCTGTGATACTCTAAAAAGCCTGAGACCGCTCTGGGCCTCGCAGGGTTTGCAATATCATAAGAGGATGAAGCTGTGGGATATCCTTATTGAGGGTGGTGCACCCGCTCAAGATATCATCACGAACATTCAAGAGCCCGAAGCCCAGACTCTGTCTCAGCTGTATGATCCATGGGACACGCCAAGGGTCTCAAGTCTCGGTGAATACATCGATCGAGACGATCTCGTTGTACGCGAACTTCTCAAGACGCGGTCGTCTACCAGCAGCGGAAATGCAGGAACATCCGCGCTACACGAAGAGCAAGAACGTCAGATCACCCATGAGGTGCAAAGAGAGCAGCAAGTATGTCGCCCTCCAATGAGCTCTCCTCTCACTCATCATCTGCACGAAGATATCCGACACTTTGTGAAGCATGGTAGTTTCCCAGGTCACAGTTCATCGGCTGTTAGTTTGGCGTTTGAAAGCCTTCGTCAGACCTCTGCAGGAATTTTCAATTTCCCACAATGCCTAGGGTCTCAATTATATGCGTCAGACGATTTTATTAAAACCGTCCAGCGCGTCAAGGGTGCTGTGGATGACCAATTTTTGAAACCTGTGCACTGGGCTCTATCTAATGTTTACAATTCTGACTTGTTGCTCCTGAGTCAATATGAAGCCAATGAGCTTCTACCTGAGGTGAGGGGGTCACAAAAGACCAAGCTGCACGTCTACTCTCCGAGGACTACCAGAGCTATGCGATCTTTCGGCGATCTAGCTTTCCTCACTGCTGGTGAAGGATATTCCGGCCAGCAGTGTGGCTATGAAACAATCCGGGACTTGGAATTATTTTCAGGGAGCCTTTATTTTGAGACTTTCCCGGCATATGAAAGTTTCCGCCACTTTCTAGGCTTGGTCACGGGCTGTTGTAATGATATTCCAGAATGCCGAGTCTCCACAGATGGATTTGTTGATGAAGAAACGCGACAACTGGTTGGCTGGCCCACACAATCACCGTTCCAATACAACCCCTTGCCCTTTCTAAGTTCACTGTTCAATCTTAGAAGCAAAGGGCACGGTTATCCCCAGACCCACGTTGGTATGATCATAGGAGTCAGACCACTGACAGCGGATCATTTTTAACTATGTGGATAATCATGAGCAATTCATCTGTCTTGCCTAGCGGTACGGATGTAGCTACATACTGTCAGATCTTTGCAATACTGCCTCGGTTTTCCTTCTACAAAACCAGTTCTGCGTTACAATCAAACTTTTCTGTCCTCACAACGGTAGGCTATCTTGACTTGGATGGACGAGATTAAGAGCACACTGCGTGGCTTTAAATATAAACTGAGTGTACTAGAGTATACGTTAGCACACGGAGCATCGAAATAATTTTCTTGAGGGTCACCCGGAAAATTTTAACCATGATACAAAGCCTCAGAGGCTAGATAATGATGCCAAGAAATTTAGCCATCATGTGACTTCTGTTACAACACTTCCATATAAAAAATTGCCTGAATAGTTTAAAGTGGTTGGAAGGCTCACGGCGATATACGCGCAGTGGTATTCCGCTACAAACTTCAAGAGCAGGGCAGGAATTGAGGGATAAATTAGCGCGACGACGCTTTTAAACCAGGCGAAAGTGAGGGCCTAGAGAGAAGCTCCTACTGCACAGATCGCAACCACAAGCCTTGGCAAGAAATTACGTATTCGGCGGTGTAATCTAGCACGCTTTTATTATGCTACTTTGAGGATTTTTGAGCATTGAAACTCAATCATGAACTTGGAGAGTGTGATCGACGATGAGCAGCAGTACAGTACAGGCAGGATCGGAATCGGTTTCACCACTTACACACAGAGATTCTTTTTCAAACCCTGTCCCGAAACATGCTATACAGTATTCTCGTACAGTCGTAAATAACAGCTTAATATAGCTTTTGTATCAGACTCGTATGGTCTCCAGGGTTTCTAGAACGTTGATCATGGAAACAGGCCAAACAGACGGATGCCTGCTCATTTGGAGACGTGGCAGGGACTCGAATCCCTTAGTTGATCCACATACCCGCCCCTGCATGATTCCCCAAGAGGAAAGCGCGAAATCCCATTTATTGTACAGTACCTCTTAATTTCGCTTCGCTCATTCTTTCTACGTACCCCGAGACTCCTGGGAACTGTGATCTTGGGCCTAGGAGACTATCTAGTATGTAAACAAATGATTAGTGCCTTGTGCCATATAAATTAAGCATTAGCAACCCCCTACCTTCTTTTTATTATAATTTATCTCTCTGCCTACTAAGCGACTGGGCTGAGCATATTCAGATTCACTGTCACTATGGTAAGTACAGTCATCTACATATACAGTTTATGATCTTGAACAATGTCACTAAGCAACACAAGGTTATTGTGGCTTCCTTGAAGACGATATGCCTTATCCGATGCCACAGGATTGTTGATGATACGATGACCTTTTTGGTAGAAGGAGTCGTAGGTGCGAAAGAGAGCGAAATCAGAGAAAATTTGCCGTGGGTATTCGATGGATGGAGCCTACCTCAATCCATTGAACTCAACAGGGACTTATACAGCTGGGTCGAATGCGGGCTCAAAGTCAGTTTGGAGGCAAAGTGTAAGGCGAAGAAAGGCCGGCACCTGGACGTTGTGTGCATTTTAAGGGCCATCCCAAGTGTAAAAGATGATACGGAATTCGACCTTCACGTAGCTCTTTGGCTTAGATCCGAAGTGCTTGAAAGAATCGCTCCTTGCCTGCTTAAAATTTACAGCACAGATCCGAGTATGTATTTCAGCGACAAGGGGATCTCCAAAAGGCTAATTGCCACTCAAAGGTGCTATCGATTTTAGAAATCTCCCGGGTCCTAAGAGAAAAGCAGGCATAAAGAGTGCTAAGCCAATAAGCGCGGGACGCCGGCCACGTCGCTCCCTCAGAATTGGAAATCTACGCCAGATGCAAGACTGAGATTCATTACTTTTGGGGGTTCAAATCCGAAGCAAGCACATTACATAGCAAATCAAGCTATGCAAATGCTGGGCGATGCCGAGGAGGTACAGGATGGATCGGAAACATTTTCACCATATAAAGTACTACTGTACATGTAGCTAGTTGATGAATGGCGTGTTTGTCATTTTCGAAATAGCAGATATAAAGGTATTTGAAGATAACTATTTGTTACTGTAATCCACCGCTAGTTCCCAAATCACTAATCTTTCCCAACCTACCGTAGTTTTCGAATTCAGTTATATTCAGTTATACCTTTGTACACTTATTATCACATGGTTTCCGGAACCTAGTTTCGATATTCAACAGTCCACTTTAGGATACCGCTTCATAGAAACGGCAGACTTGAAGTAGTAACAGCTGACGAAACAAAACGTGTCTGTAATAATACTGTAATTCCCTGTGGAAGTACATAGAATCCATTCGTATTTCAGTCCCCAATGAGTCCACGTGCCCCAAGGGTTAGGTCGCGATCTGCCTGATCCGCCCCAGTCTGCCTCCCTATCATTTACCCCACTAACCCGACGAGTAAGGTTGTGCAACTACACCATCTCAGTCCATTTTTCGTTCATCCACCTCAAGTTAATACCTCAATTGAGCCTATCTGCGAATCAGTATGAACTCGCCGACTCATACCATAGATCCAGACGGCGAAGTGATCATAATATTGCGCAATGCGAATAGTCCGTTTGTTCAGCTGGACTCTGACATTTTTCCATGGTTGTCTGGTGATGCCCGAGGATCCCATGAGGTGGCCGAGGTTTCGAAATACCTTTTTGGACAGCCAGAGCTGAGTCGCAAGGAAAAGAGGAAGAATAAGAAGAAGAAGAAGGATACGAAAAGCAAGTATGGGACGATACCGACCGCCCTTGAGTTCACTTCGCCAAATGAGGGAAAGCCTCTGTTATATAATGCCCTCTGTTATATAATGCCCTCTGTTATATAATGCCCTCTGTTATAATGCCCTCTGTTATATAATGCCCTCTGTTATATAATGCCCTCTGTTATATAATGGAACAAACACCTGTGTATTTCTCCAGAGAGCCCATTAAGATGGAACCATCTACAGCCATTCTCGAAATCGGCTTAACCAATATACACTGAGTAACTCTTTCCTGGACCCACTGCCAAGGCCTTAGCGTAGATCAATCATTGACCAGGCCGCATTGAAATGAGGGACACCGTAAAATGCATTTTGTATGGTATTATATATTTGTAGTAAAGCTACACAATATGTACAAGAATTCCATGGAATTCCATGGAAGTCTGTAGTGGATCCTTGGCAATCAGTTAGGTAGACAATCTGCGAGGCGGCTTCGACTTTTCAGCTCTCGTTCTCAACCTGCCATATTCCCTTTGCCAACTACCGCCCACTGAAAGTGATTCTTCAAGTTATGGAATATCACAGTAGATGGTACTGTAACATACGTAATCTTTTGTTCTGGACAGAGTTCTGTCATTTGCGGGCTAAGCTCGAGATATAAAAGTGTGCCCTATTTTGGTATATTGGATCTCCACAAGACTTGTTTTGCTGCAATTGCTATACTACTTTTTCCATCACTCCTCTATTTGAAATGTTCGTTTGCTCACATCGCTGTTCCTTACACCGCTGTCAGGTTGGCCTATGCTGCACCATAGATCATAACATCGATCGTTTTATTCGAAACTGAACGAAGCATCATGTCGGTGACGGATGTAAATTCCCGGAAGACGGATAAAATGTTACCGCCTTTGCTCATGCTAAATTCGCGCTCCAGTGAGACTGGCGTGACATCTGAATTTGGCTTTCAGTCATCTTAACTTGATACAACTGTAGCATGAGTGAGAGTGAAGATTTGAGGAAATCTATTTGTTCCACCATGTTCAGAATATCCCTTTTCACTAGATTCCATGTGAGCTTTCTTATGAGCCGGTACTTGTAGATCTCTGCATATCTAGATAGAAGTACCTCCACATCTTTCGTAAGACACTCATTGTCATGAAGTATTGACGTGCCTGCTCCCCGCAGTTCTTCACTGAAAGACATGGCAGTGACGACACCACAAGCGGATTGTAGCAGTTCCGAGTATTGTCCTAACCTCTGTGAAAGAAGCCGTACTTCTTTACACTCGCCATTCATATCACGGAAAATGTTTGACAACTTTAAGGAAAACTCAGCAGCTGATGCGTAGAATCCTATGATGCTAGCTGCAGCAGACAGCGGATCCAGCCTCGGGGATTTGCTAGCCTTAGCCTTTGTGTCATATCGAGAATAAGGCTCGTTTGAGCCACTCGTCTGATCTTGATACGGTTGCAGTGAGTCGATCACGTTGCTAAGTCCTAGAATTTGAGGCCTTGTCCTTTGTTGCATGGCGCCAGAAAGTGGAGGGTGTGGATGCAACTGGTCGTTCTGCTCCACGTATACTCTTTCCTCCCGGGATAGTTTGTCAAGCTTCATCGAGGTCAGATATTCATCGATCTCATCAGCTAAACTTTGCTGGGCACTATGTTTTGCGCTAGTTCCTTGGATCTCAAGGGGTTCCTCTCCGGTTGCGAGTTGCCGCTCGCGTGAATGAGATGTGGACGACGGTAAATTGTCTCGTTGCATTGAATCAAATGGCGTAGAAGATATAATATCGTTTGGATTATCCGGCAGCGTATTCACCCTTCCAGCAAGCTGTATAGCCGGTCTCGTGAGGAGTCGTTTATAAACAATATTTGTTAAATCATCTACTTGGCGAAAGTGTTCATATCCACCTATAAAAGGAGGAACGATAGGGGAATATCGCACTTCAGAAGTGCTGTAGAACGAGCCGTCATTGCGGAGTAGATTATGCGATGGTGATACGGTCATGGGCGGTAACTGGGAACGACTGCCTATAATTGCGCTTCATGAAAGATTAGTAGGCTTTTTGCAACCAAGATAGACTTATACTTACAGCATGCTTGTCTGTATGGTTAGTTGGGCAAGTTGAACGTAGCTTCCGAGACCATTCCTGAACGTTTTGAGGTCCTCGGCGGCCAGGAGAGCCCATTTGACCTTTCTTGGAGCACTGCGCATTGAGCCTCGGCTAGAATCCTTGCCCATCGACTTCTCATATTGCTCAATGCTCTTTTTGAACGTCTCAACAAGTCTTTGCATATTTGTCGAATTTTCGAAAATCTTTTGCCGGAATGATTCAGGAACGATGGAAAGATCGAGGTGTTGGGTTTCCTCTATGAGAGAAAGAAATGCTTCACATTGCTCTTTAGCCTGCTGGAAATCTGATGTGGAGCCGTTCTCTTTCAGGGAAGAAACAATCTTCCAGGCAAACTTTGTGAAGAGGACGATGTCGCCTGGACTAAAACCAAAACTCATGATTGATTCCAAAGATCAAAGCTGTCGCTGATTTCGTGCTTAATGGCCCTGGTCGGGCTGGGTTGATGGAAGCTGTGCAACTACCCAAGATGCCACTTGGATGGAGATACCGAAAGGGGGAAAAGAGAGTTGGTCAAGTCCGCGGAACCCCGCCCGCGTTTCCACGGGCCGGGCCTCTCCGCATGATTGCCAAGAATCCACTACAGACTTCCATGGAATTCCATGGAATTCTTGTACACATTGTGTAGCTTTACTACAAATATATAATACCATACAAAATGCATTTTACGGTGTCCCTCATTTCAATGCGGCCTGGTCAATGAGTGATCTACGCTAAGGCCTTGGCAGTGGGTCCAGGAAAGAGTTACTCAGTGTATATTGGTTAAGCCGATTTCGAGAATGACTGTACCTCTACTCCCAGGCGGTCGACCGGTTCACGCCCGACACGAGCCCAACGCCATACTCCAAGCGATGGTTTACTCCGGACCTCAAGGTCCAACAAGCCGAAGTCAATCAACTACGCAGGCGGTGGCAGGCAAGCTGCGCGGAGCTGGGGCGAGACCATGCTAGCACCACTGCTGCCTTTCAGGCCATGCAACAAAAACGGCGAACGTGGACCCGGACCATCGAGAAAGCCAAAGCCTCACACTGGAGACAATTCCTGGACGAGGCTGGTGAAGGAAAGCTCTGGAAAGCTGCGACGTACATGAAACCTCGAGAGACATGGGGCTGCGTCCCAGCACTACGAGTTGGCTCGGAAGAGTTCACTCAGAACAAAGACAAAGCGAAGGCTTTCCTCGAAGCATTCTTCCCTACAATGAACACACCTGAACCCAGCCCACCGGCCACGCCAGATACGGAACTTCCGTGGCACCCGATCACCGAGCTCGAAATTGAACGATCACTGAAGACAGCGAAAGGGACGACTGCGCCAGGAGAGGACAATCTGCCGACGCTGGTTTGGAAGAAGCTTTGGGGGCAGTTAAAGAGTTTTATTCTCAGCATCTTCACAGCGTGTGTAGAACTAGGACACCACCCGAGACAATGGAGGAGTGCGAAAATCGTCGTCTTACGGAAACCGGGCAAGCCCGACTACTCGGTTCCCGGTGCCTACCGTCCAATTTCACTGCTGAATACGCTCGGCAAGCTCCTCGAGGCAGTGATGGCTCGACGGCTGTCTTATCTTGCAGAGAAACATAGCCTGCTACCGAACAGCCAGTTCGGTGGACGCCTGGGCAGGACCACTGAGCAAGCCTTACTGGTGCTGTCCAGCGCGATCGACCAAGCCTGGTACAAGCATAAGGTGGTGACCCTGATTGCATTCGATCTCAAAGGCGCCTTCAACGGGGTGAATCAACTAAGCCTAGACGCCTCCTTACAGACTAGAGGAATACCAAAGGTCGCAAGGAAATGGATCGCAAGCTTCATGAGCGACCGGCACGCCAACATTGGATTTGACGACTTCCGTACCGAGACAGAGCTATTAGCACATGCCGGTCTAGCGCAAGGCTCGCCGCTCTCTCCCATCTTGTTTGCATTCTTCAACGCCGATCTGGTCGACCAGCCCGTCGACTCCCACGGAGGCGCGTCGGCATTTATTGACGACTACTTCCGATGGCGCGTGGGCCGCTCGGCCGAGGAAAACCTAGCCGAGATACAGTCCGAAGATGTCCCTCGTATCGAGGAGTGGGCACGGCGGACCGGATCCTGCTTCGCGGCGGAGAAAACCGAGCTTATCCACCTCACTAGGAAGAGGGGAGAACACTTACAAGGACAGATCAGCTTCAATGGAGCCGACGTCAAGCCGTCGCCAACAGCCAAACTGCTGGGGGTGGTGTTCGACCAGGGACTTCGCTGGAAGGAACACGTTCAACAAGCGATCAAACGTGCCACTAAGACGACCGTCGCTCTCAGTGGCCTACGATACTTACGTCCAGAACAAATGCGACAGCTCTACCAAGCATGTGTCACACCCATCGTAGACTATGCATCGACGGTCTGGCATGACCCGCTCCGAGACAAAACTCATCTCCGCCATTTAAACACAGTCCAGAGAACCGTCTTGATCCGAACTCTATCGGCGTTCAGGACGGTGGCAACCACAACACTAGAGGTCGAAGCCCACGTACTACCCACACACCTCCGTCTTCGCTACCGAGCGCAACGCACCATCGCGAGACTACACACTCTACCTCGTAACCACCCCATCTGGAGCGCGCTATCACGAGCCCAGAAACGTAGAAACAATGTGGGGTCGTACGCGCGCTTCCCTCTGGCAGAAGCGTTGAAAACCATGGACGTCGACAGGCTCAACGAACTAGAAATGATCGACCCACGCCCGCTATCGCCGTGGCGTACGGACGCCTTTACAGAGATCGAGCTTGGACGCGACCGAGATACAGCGAGACAAAGAGCAGAATCCGCAAGGGACCTGTCGGATATTGTCGTCTACTCGGACGCCTCAGGGCGCGAGGGTCATCTAGGGACCGCCATTGTTGCACTCAACGACAATGAAGAGGTGATGGAATCCCAACAGGTCCAGGTAGGACCGATGGAACGCTGGTCGGTCCACGTAGCAGAGCTCATTGGCATCTTCTACGCGGTCGACATGGTGTTCAGGCTGGCCCACCGGCGCACAAATGTGGTGGAGGGAGAGCACATAACGGCAACAGTCCTATGTGACAGCAGATCAGCTCTACAGGCGATCCAGAACGTGAAGAATAAATCAGGGCAACGCATCGTCCATGCGATCCTCCAAGCCGCTGCCGAGGTTCAAGGAGAGAACATCAAGCTCCGCCTCCAATGGATGCCCGGGCACTGTGAAAACCCAGGGAATGATACCGCGGATCGACTCGCCAAGGAGGCCGCGCTACCGGGCAAAACCCATCCCTTCCGGCCGCTTCTCATCAGGGAGAACGCATTCCTCCGCAAGAAGATTCAGGCCCAGTGGGAGCAAGAATGGAAGTCGAGCACCAAAGGCGTGCACTTACGAAAGATCGACGACACCTTACCAGCGCGGCACACCAGAAAACTATACGGAAATCTACCCAGGAACCGCGCGTATCTGCTGACCCAGCTACGCACGGGCCACAACTGGCTAGCCAGTTACGCGAAGAAATTCGGCTTTCGCGACGATAATCTATGTGAGTGCGGCGCGCAGGAGACAGTCAGCCACGTGTTGCTGGAGTGTCGAAACCTGCGAGAGCTGCGGAGTGAATTGAGAAGAAAAGTCGAAGACGCGCTCAACAGCGTATCGAGTCTGCTGGGAGGCTCAAAAGAAGGTGAGAAAGGTAAACCAGACACCGTCTCGCGAGCCAAAACAGTACAGGCTGTGCTGGACTTTGCAGAGGCGTCACAGCGGTTTCACAGTCGTGCGCCATCAGGGCAGCCTAACAATGGGAACGGCAATTAGGCCACGGTAGGCCGTGACGAGGCTCTAAGTTCGTATCAGGAAGAGGATCATTTTACATGTACATACTCGGATCTATAGTTGTTGTATACTGCATGTCGCTTTGGCGAGGGGTCAGTGTAAATGAATACTACTACTACTACTACTACTGTAGCTCATGCGGGGGAAAAAGGTGTAGTAGAGAGAGCATGGAGTGGTGAGCAGTGGACGTGCTTGGCCACTCTGACGGCGCAAGACCGGATACCTAGCAATCTAGCCCAAAGAAACTATCTTCACGGATTTTGTTGGCCTAAGACCGATCAGAAAGATATGGCTCATCAGATTCATCCTCGGTTGTGTTCTCGTCGCCTGACAAGTTGGTAGTATTCCCTTTTTGCCAACGATCCAATTGGCTTCGTTGCTTCGTGGACACGAGAAAGCGCTCCTCAAAGACCGACCGCACTGCAATTCTCGTGCCCTGTTTGAAGGTGCCTGGATGCGAGACAATAAATAGCACGGCGTTGTAAACCTTGGCAGGGTCATTTTTTTCATCGCTAAATTCGCCGCGTATTATCAAGAATAAAAGTCGAAACGCTGCGTCCTGTGCTCGAGATTTATCGCCCCTTACAGCTCGATAACGCTTATACTCGGGTTCGTAATGGGTTTTGCAGGCCCTCAGATCGGCAAAAATATAATCAACCGACTGCCCGGCAAGTACGTCAACCCCGAGAAAATCATATGTTTCACAGAGAATATGATACTGAGGGATATCACCTCGCAAAGAGAGGAAACATTGCCGATAGCCTGATTCCAAGCCCCTGAGAGCAACATCAAACAAAGCAATATTGCCGTGAATGAATTCTGTATTTTGCGGCTGGGAAAGACGTTGAAACCTGACAAAAGCTGATAAATATGGTATCGTCAAGATGTCAACATTGTGGAAAGTATCCCCAATTTTGAGTGTTGTTTTGCGAGAATTTGATTCAATCGCTCAAGTCGGCCCCGTTTCATCACGGAGTCTCAAATAAAGATCATCCGGTAACATTCTGCTCCCTTCTCTCTTCAAAACCGCAAGGCTGTCACTTCGACCGTCATATTTTATGACAGCATTCCCACCATTCTCTCTTACCACTCTAATGATTTCCTTGACCAATACAACCAATCTCCGAAGGTCATAAGCATGGTTTCGTTCCCATTCAGCAATCTCACGAGTGACATCTTTGACTTCCGGCGGTCCGAATGTGCCATAATTGTGGTATGCACGGACAAGATTGGGTGTTTGCGATACCCATAGCTGTGGAAGAACATCTTGGACGTTGAAAGGCTTATGGGACACGCGTGTTTTGATCTCAAGAGTTGTATTGATTGGTACCTGTTTTCCTTTTTTCTGGACCACTAATTTGGACTTGGTGGCAAGACGAGAGTGAGTCTCGGGTTGCGAAAGAGACAGGTTTTCCATCATGCTCAGAAAATTATCATTTTCCGAACCCACACTTTGAGGTTGAAGTTTCGAAGTTTCTTCAACGTAAGCGTCAGTCTCGTAGCGTACTATGAATTTCATATCGCCCAAGTTATAGGAGATAATCCGATGATGTCCAGTGCTGCCGGATACTTGGGTTGTTGTGAAAGCTTTCTCAAACTCATGACCATATCCCCTGAAGTCATGTGGCCCGATGAATGTATGTGTTTCGGTTTCTGCCCGACAAAAAATTGCCGTATTGTTTGAGACCTCAATTTCAATGGTGAAAGGCTCCAGTCCATTTCTAGAGAGATTTGGATTGATAAACGACAGAAGTTTGCGGACGTTGTTTCGATCAGTTATCAAGTCAACTTGGTGTATGTTGTATGAAGGGTTTTCAGTGTACAGCGAGCGAAAAAGTGGTTCGAGCGGACTTTCAGGATGTCGAAACGCGTTTTGAGCAATGTAAATGAGCCCAGAGTCTTTGGCCACTTTTTTGGGGGTTTTGGGTGGAGACCAAAGAGGCGGGCAGCCGGGGACAGCAATAGTGGGGCTGGACGATTCAATCCAATTATAAGAAGACAAATGCTCCACATTCGTGATGGATGGCCCGATCTTCTCAACATCTGTCAACTCCGGGCGAGGTATGCCTGCGATCCAAAGAGAACCCATTGTTGCCTTGCTTGGTTAGTGATATTATAGTAGCCAAGGAGAATGAGATTTGGGCTGAGTTTCTCAGGTATTTGTATCAGTACAATTCTTGTGTATTACCCCACATGGGTTTGGCCAACACATACTTGCATTAATCTGGCCTTACCTTGTGTGTACTGTTTGTCTAATCCGCATAGAACCTTTGGGGTATGACTCTCCTTTGCCGAAGCGGAGATTGGGGAAGAAGGAAGAGATAGGTGAAAGGACCCTGCAGGTGATGCCAAGAACGATGCTGTATGTGAAGTGTGAAGTGATAATTCAGTTGCCTATAGGATTGTCCATGGGTTAGGCAGAACCCTGGTGATTATGCCCTTGCTGCAGCTAGCAGCCTCACCAGTCTGGCAGGTGCTGAGTTCGCCACTGTATAATACCTCAGCGCTAACAAAAACCACACGTGTCCTGGACATAATCCATTGGATGTGATGGCACCACGTTAGTTCGCTTCTCACAGCTTAGAAGCACCATTTACCTTGGAGGCGGTGACACGGTACATTACGCAAGTTGCGCAGGGCGAAGCTGATCAACGGTATTTCGTCCCACAATTAAATCGATTTGAGCTGTCTTAAAAGGGCATGTTTTCCTGTACCCAGGTATGTTTGAGTTCCAAATATTTTCCAGCACAATTGTCCTCTTCTAAAGCAACTGGACTTTGTCCGATAAACCGATAAGAAATGACAGCTCTTCTAACCTTTGAGCCGTACGTGCTCACCCCATTGGTCCATAATGTTCCCGGGATCCATATGTCATTCTTCCTTACCTTCTACATCGATGAGCCTTCTCTTGCAATTCCACCTCTGGAAGCGGGCGTGAACCGCCTTATAGAGCTTCTGCCATTTCTTGCCGGCAATGTCACTCCGTCTATCCAGTTAAAAGGCAAAGAGAATGTGTACGAGGTACAGCCTCCAACCGCCAAATTCCTACAGGAACATTCCATGTTGCGAATCAAATACCACGAGCATTATGTTTCTCCTAAAAGTCCCGGTGCATTTTCTTTCTCAAACGAATCTTCCATAGACGAAAGATTCATCCCAATGCCATTTGAAATGGCCTTGGCAGAATTGATTCCCGTGCTTAGACTACAAGCCAATGTCATGCATGATAGTATCGTTCTCTGTATTTCCTTCCACCATATGGCTATAGACGGCTATGGAGCACTCAATTTGAGCAGATAGCTTGCAGAATACTGCCAAAACCCTTATATGGACCCTGAAGTTATTCAAACCAATGCTCTCGCTGAGGCGCGAAGTAGACGGACGATATTTGATGCTGTCACTAAGAATGGTACCCAAAACGGGCTGCCTAAACCGTCTAATACAGCTTTAAAAGTTTCGAATATAGTCATTAGCAGAATTTTGACTTTTGATGCAGAGAAGATTAAATTCCTGAAAAAAGCGTGCATGTCATTCTTACGTACAAATTTGGATACGCGAGATGCTCATTTGTCGAGTAATGCAGTTCTCTTAGCTTCACTATGGCTCGGCATTATCCGATCACAATATAGCCTATTATCGTCTAAGGCAGCTGGATCAGAGCAGAACCTCACGCAGACCAAGTCCTGTTTTGTGACAGCATCGGAGATTCGCAATCTATTTTAACCCACTCTACCTAATTCGTACTTAGGAAATGCATTGATTGTGGGCGGCACATCCACCACTATCGAAGACGTATTCTCCATCCGGAATAAGTTGACTCGCTCATCCCCTTCGCCTTCGAACCGTCCCAGCCCTAACGACATCCGCCACATTACCGAGATGGCCTTTTCGATTCACCGAATATTTGGCGTACTCACCACCGAATACCTTCAAACAGCTGTCTCGCATAAGTTCAATAGCAGTGACTGGTCTATAAGCGTACCGGCTACGGATCTCATGCTTAGTAGTATCAGGCACCTGACTATTTATGAACACAATTATGAGACATATTTAGGACAAGTAAAGAGCTTTGATATGCCTGATGCTCGTTTTCCCGGTGCGGGTTAGGTAATGCCAGCTCGTTTCAAGGGAATGTCTACGCCCTAGGAAGTGAGGCTTGCTTTAGAGTCAGAGGTGATAGAGCGATTACAGAGGGATAGGTTGATCATGTAGGCAAAGTTGCAGCAAAATTCCAAGCTTTAGGGGTGTTAGGACGGTCTCTATAGTTCATAGACTGAACGTTCGGCGATTTTCTGCCGTGCTAGCTTAGTGGAAATCCTAGGGACGTTGTACACGTATGTAGTCAATGAGTTTATGTAAGCTTCCTAATTAGGGGGTTCTGTCAAGAAAAGTGGTCCTTACAGTACTAGCTTACTCGAGTTTTAGCAGCACCCATTTTGCTTACTCATTTGCTACAGTATAGATGGCTACTTCGCCAAGCCATACACCGCTTCATGAGCTTTGGTTAAATAGCGTAGCATCAGCTTGTCCTAGAATTTACACTCATTTCTATGATAACAGGCCGATCAATGGTCTATTATAGAACTAGCGCGTACCGTATCTCTTAGAATCGACAGGTTCAACTACTTCAAAATCTATCCCACCATTTTCCGTCTATCAGTCAGTCACCTTATGCCAGCAACTAATCATAAACCAAACGGGTAACGAAAAGCAATATCAATATGATAACGGTGTGTTTCTTATAGTGAAATATCTATAAGAGGGGTAATGTCTGTTTTTCACTAATTAATCATAGATTTCAACCACTTCGACAAAAACATGTCTCGCATTTACCATGGTCCCTTTGTCAAGCCACTCCATACTTTTCTCATCTATCCTATAGAGTTTGATATAAGTTTTTGCAAAGATATTTGCTAGACAAACGAACAGTTCGCAGTAAGCGAGGCTACGTATGTTAGTAACTTGCTAGAGCACAAGATAGGCGGCGGGGCTCGGTACTTAATTCTAATGCAGGATCGACTGCCCCTAGAGAAGGGCATATACCATTTTTTGAGGTGCTTTCCTTTTTCCCTAAGCTATCGCTCGGGAACGAACTTCTCGGGGTGCGGGAAGACCTCGGGATTATGATAGACCATGAGTTGGCTCATAGAGATGGTTGTCTAGTTGATTAACTCATTAGCTTTTCAACAGCAGATTTTTGTGATAGGTTAGTTTACTCCTCTAGGCACGTATTGACCCTTTATACGGATGCCCTCCGGCGGCACAATTCTTATATATCTTAAGGGAGCGGGAGGGCTAAGTCGCAGACTCTCTTAAATGACAGCTGTCTAGCAAGGTAATTAGCGAGAAATGTAATTGGGGAACGTTTGAATATGACAAACCAGATATGGTAACTAAGAAACGCTCTTATATGACAGAGCTTGATTATCCCCTCGAGGAACAGCATAAAGCTCATTTCTAAGGCGTTTTTCTGTAAATAGATTTGTTAAGATATGGTACGTAGCGTACGACAACGCAACGGCTATAGTATCGTTCCTAGCAAAACTAGTGGTGAAGGCTTCGTCAATAAGGCTCTCTATTGTGATTATTTGAGCCTCTTTCTTTTCCGGTTCTGCTAGGAGCAAGCTGAAAATCGTACGTGTTCCCTCCTTACCTATTTCCCCTAGTTTTTGGGCATGCATATCTTTAATCTAACTAGCATATTGCTATTGTTTTTGTAAGAATTTGCGTTAGGCGTAGATAGAAAAGAGAAGGGAGATTTTTGACTTACTCGACGGAATACGATATACCCTAGTGCAATTTTGTTCGCCAAATATTCAGGCATCACTAGTGCGATCTAGCTTAGGATTAGGAATTGCTTAGCAATGTTAATGCGATTAGAAAACATGCGGATACTATGCAAAAATTCGTTGTAATCCATGGTTTTCCTAAAGAGAAGCAACATAATAGTATCAGCCTAGATACGTAACTTAGAATATTGAAGTAGTATAGTAGGGTGATCGTTTTCTAACAAACCGTAATACAGCGATAAAGTTGTTATATATCTAAAGGGGATTTGGCTCGATACGCTTCGGAAGCCTTGGCAAGTGCGTGTAGAGACATATCTTCGATGACAGTGGCGAACCTATCAATTGAACTCCGTGCAAATAAGGAACTCATGATTCGGTGACGGGCTCTATGGCTGTCTCTATTTATGAAAGTAACCAAAGCCTCCGAAATTCTAAGTGCTCCGTAAAACTTTGGGTCTTTAGGGAAATTCGCATCATTTTGATATAGCCTAGGGACAAATTAGCGGAAACAAAATCAGGACAGTGTCACAGCATGTTGTCTATAACATACTCTGTGAAGAATTCTAGGTCGTTGACATATACCTCGTTGGGTCCGATCCTAATGACAGGGCCTATGGTATATCATAAAAATTGCTATTTAGAGAATCATCTATGTGACTGAAAGAAGATTCATACCATATTTCTCATGCAAAAGTCGAAACTGCTTAACAAACTTCCTACCCTGCACAACGTCTTGATAGAAGTCATACCATTTGGTAACATTCGCGGGGAAGGGCCCGGGAATAGCTCGCAGAGGATAAAAAAATAAACGATAGATAACAAGGACCAGAGGATAAAGCAGCAGAATCAAAGCCGACCCTTAGACAACATTGGTCCTAGAGAGCAATAAGAGCAGGAATATGACCAGGGCCATTTTTTGATAAGTGTAATAGGCAGTTACACCATTTATCACTATTGATTTGGGGATACGGTCTAATATAAGCAGATTTTCGGTCGTTGCATGCAAGTTAATTTCATAGGAACACGTCGCCGAGTTTATTATTAGGAATTTCAACACGACGCGAGCATATGCATCGTCCTGACGCTAAAGTAGCACATCATATGTCAACCTTAGAGGTCCCTAATACCACTGAAGGCATGTAGCTCAGCGAATACCTGCCGCTTTACCCCCTTGTATCAACGCGACAGGAGCTCATACATGACGATACGAGCCCCTCATAATGCAATAGCCCTTTAATAGAGGTCGGTTCCGAGAAATAACCAACTACGCAATACATCTTTGATCCTCGTACCATTACTACCCTATACGCGCTGCCGCATAGTCGTCAACACATACTCTCTATTTGATGTTTTAGGAAGCCCTTCCCGTAGATTAATTGCGCGCTTTGATCCTCTAAGAATATTTAAGAGTTAAAATGCCAAGCTGGAGTAGAAGACATTGCACAGCCCCGTTGTCTTGTAGCACTCTTTTATTGATTAATCCATATATACTACCTAACTAAATTACAATATGGCGCCGGCATAAGTGAGGACGAACGGTGACATTACATGACAAATAGATCAAAATGTTCTAGCCGTTTGGCTGAGTACTAACTCCATTATTTCCTGTTTTACTATGGATCCAATGCATACCAGGCTACCAATGCGAAACTCTAGCGCCAAAACCAATACTCTAAACGCGTATGTACCCTTGACCGCTAGTTCTTTTACCGCAGTAATTGAATAAATTTCGATCTACATATCCCGTAGATGATCTCTTATATGCAGACCAAAGCGTTAATTGCATGTATCTTGATGTATATGTATCACGATGAGCTAATGATAGACGATAGACACCATCAAAGCTCGAATTATTCTTGACCGCTTCGTATCAAAACGCCCGGGTCCTCAATGCTTATGTGCTCACCTGCATGTATACAAATCCAATTAATAATACCGCTGTACTTATGGGGGCCTTAGAAGTCCGTGATTGTAACCCGGCAAAATTGCCTTCTCAATCAAGGCCACACTTCAAGGCTAACCACGAATGACTAACGTGATTCCCGCCCGAGCTGCGCACCCGGTCGAGCTGCGCACCCCAAAACAGATAGTTAATGCGATAAATTACTACTTCATATCTCAACAACCATAGGTTATTTTTACTTAGATATTAGGGTATAAGCTTTTCTTAGCATGTGAAATAATATATCTTAGTTTTAAGCAATTTAGATGATTATGTCGATGCTTTACCATAAAATACGGCGTAATTTTGACATGGGGGGCATAAATATATATATCTCCATTAATGCTTCTAGTAATTTTTCTATACTTCCCCAGTAGGTTAGAAATACTATCTATATTATATACTTTTAATATCTTATCATACATAGATAAGATTGTTGAGATATAAAGTAGTAATTTATCGCATTTACTATCTGTTTTGGGGTGCGCAGCTCGGGCGGGAATCACGTTAGGTAAGTGTTCCACTTTATATTTAACGTAGTTCACCAGTGAGCTGCGCACCACTAGTGA